ACATCCTTTTTACCCGTGTGTTGTAAAGAGTTGAACTTATTATCGAGTTGAGTCAACTTCCAGCAGTTATTTTTAACCCCATAAAGTGTTAATTATTTTAAGTGTCCAATTTTTCATTGAAATATATAAAACAACAAAAAATTTTGCCAATTGTCCCATTTTTTTTAAATGCTGCATATTTTTATTTATTTATTTTAACAAAAAAAAATTAATTTCTAATTTAATATTTAATAATACAAAATTTTATTAATATTAATATTAATAAATTAATTTTATTAATATTAATAAAATACTAATTAATTAATATTAATTAATAATATTTCAAATAATTTACAAATAAAAATTTGTTGATAATAATTTCAAAGTAAATAACCGATTATTTGAAATAATTTTTTTTTCTCTCCTAAAAAAAATTCAAACAAATACCGGAAATGTTTACCAGATATATATAATATTATAACTAAAAATAGATATATATGAGAAAAAAAAAAGATGGCTCATTTTCTATCAGATCAGTCAGACTTTTTCCTGTCTTTTAACGATAATTAGATATATACATATGTGTGGGTGAAATGAATCACAGTATTATCATAAAAAAATTCAAAGTATATAAACATTTCTTGAAAATTTTTTTTTGTCACTAAAAAAAAATAATAAAAGAAGATTTGCCAATATTAGAACGAATTAAATTAAATAATTTCCATTTCAAAATAATTGATTTTAATCTACATTTACTTTTACTTCATAAATACATAAAATGATTAACACCACAGGATAGCCGTTATATGGCGTTAAATTATCCGTTCATGCTAGAATGAAAACCCACAAGAATTAAAATGAATTATAGAGGACATTTGATATTTATCTAAACAAGATATTTTTTTTTTTTTGAAAAAAAGTGTTTGTTGAAGCTTTCGATTAATGTATAATTATAGAGTCATTGCATATTACAATTATATATAATATGTAAATAAAAAAATAGAATATTAAAAATATAAAATTTTTGTTATTATATTTTTTTTATATTAATATAATTATTATAATTATTATTATAATATAAAAAATATAATAATAATTTGATTTGCGATAAAATGAAGAATTTCAAGAATTTAACATTATTTCACTACCGGTATATAATATTATAATGATTCCATCATCATATAGTAAATTAATAACATAAAACGTCATATTCAAGAATGTATACTTCCATACAGTCACTCCTACGTATTTATACTATCAAAGAAAAATTGTGAATAAAAATTGCACGAGTCTATAAAGAAATCGCACATTAAAGTGCAAAAGTCTGATTCATCAGTTGAAATTGTTAGCAGAATAAAAAAAAAAAAAATAAAAAAAAAAATTTGATTCTTTTGTCTTGTTTTCACTTACGTGACATGGATTTTGAAAAGAAAATAATATGCGAGATGCACATCGCACGCCCTTGGCCACATTATATACAGTTCAACGTGATCCAAACGTTCTGAATTCTTAATCAACTTTCATTTTTATTTAGACTTTTTTTGTATTAAAATCTGATTTTTCTAATTTTTTTTTTCGTGACTATTTTTGGATTTTATAGAAATATTGGTTAATGTTATTCAAAATTTTCTTCCCACGCTTCTGACAAAATCAAAAACAGAAACATAATTTTTCTATTTCAAAATTGTTATTGTTTTAAAATTAAAAAAATGTCGTAACGAAAAAATAAAAAGTTGTTTAAAGCCAATATAAAAATAAAAACTAATTATTTTAACTGTGATATTGAATATTTATCTTCTAGGGCAAAAAATTAGAAAGTAAAATAAATTTCAAAAAAAGTATTAATGCAAAACCAGTTGCAATATCGCATCCAATATATAAAAGATTCATAGCAATGTAATGCGGTTGCATTACGTCATTACATCTATTAAGTGAGTGAAACAAGATTCTATTTCGAATTCATCCACGTTTATAATATTTTCAATGCAAAACTGCTTTCAATCAAAATTTTTTACTAAAAATTAAATTTTTAATTTACAATTTGCAAACAAAAAAAAAATATATATATAAAATTTTATATATTACTATAAATTAATAATATTATTACTGCTAATAATAATAATAGTACTAATAGTACTAATAATAATTTAATAATAATTTAATAATAATTTTATATAATTTTAAATATTAAAAAAATATAATCAAATTCAAAAGAATTTTTTTTCCTTTTTTTGCAAAAAGAATTCAAAGAAATCCTACCAAGTCAATATATAAACAACTTCCGTTGTACTTTCAACAAGGAGAAATATATTTTATAACCGATGATCATTATATTTATGCATGCTGGAAGTACCTATACCTAAATATAAGTCTTTTCGCTCTATCAATTCATCTACCTAGCGTAACGTTTTTCCGGATTCCAAAAACATAATATCTTATACACTAAGAATCAAAGAAAAAATCCCGTCATTTTTATTATTTTTTTTTTTAACAATAAAACAAAAATTTCTATGGCTTTTTAATTATAATTAAATTTACCTGCTATTTTATAATTAAAATTTTTATAAATTTTATTTCAAACTTTTTTTCGTAATTATTTTTCAATCTTTGCCTTTTTTATTTAATAATTATTAATACAATTATTAAAAACCTTTTAGAAAATATTTAGCAAATTAATATCAAAAAATTATGAAGAAAAATTACAATTGTTTTTATTAATTAAATTCTTGTAAGTTAAAAAAATTTCTGATTTTTTTTCTTTGATTTAATTTTAATTAATTAAATTTAAATTTTTTAATTTCAAATTTTTTTTAAATACAAAATCAAGAGGCAAGAGAAGAATTGATAACAACATGAGAGTAACTTATTGCTTTCTCTAATTTATAGTTTTATTGTTTAAAAAGTATGTCATTATATATATTTAATATAATATTCCCTTAAATTGTTTTAATGAAACTAAATTATTTTTCAATAATTTCTAAGTTTAAATCTTAAAATTTTAATTTTGAAATCTCATTGCTTATTTAGAATGCGTCATTCTTATCGCAATTAATATTTATAGTCATTATATTGTCTTTAAACGTTATCTAACTTTCTTTTCCATGGTCACGTTGAATTTTTATACGCGCGAATGTTGAGAAAAATGACGTCAGAATGTGACAAATAATTTTATAATAATAACCTACATTCTCAGACTTACATTGTTTTCCTAATAGGACAAAAAAAAAAAAAAAAAAATTTTACAAAAATATTTCAAAAGAAACAGCAACATTAAACAGGCAAACAAAACCATTGTTAAAATAATCATAAATACAATATCTAAATTCCCATGCTTTAAATCAGTATTTCTCAAATACAATTTGCAACTAAAAAGAAGAATTTTTTTTTATCAACCTTCGGGAGGAATATTTTGATTCGTGATTTTGGGTTTTTAAGCCAGAATTTGCATTGACTATGTCATGAAGAGAAAATTTTTGTAGTATCACTGAAAAACGGTTTTGGTTTTGACAAAAAAAAAAAACGTTTGGTTGGTATTTATAATTAAAATTTGTTTGTTGCATCAACAAAATTTTAATTGTCTTAATCAAAATTAAAGTTGTGTCAATTGAAGTTGAAACGATTTTACGGAAACTACTCCACGGAAATTCCACACGGAATTCCGTAAAACTTATATACGGAATTCCGCAAAATTTTTGAAAGAAGTTCTTTTGTAATTTTGCGAATTTTTTTATAAGAATTACACACATAATTTCTATACAGAATTGCACAAAATTTTTGTTAGAATTTCACAACTGTACACTGAAAAAAATTTAGCCGAAATCCTCAACTACCTTTAGTTAACTGACTTAAAAGTAGTAAAAGTAACTACTTTTTTGATTATTTTAACTATGTGCGTGTAGTCAATTTAACTATTTTTATGGAGTTAAGAATTAGTAGTTAATTGTACTTAACAAAAGTAGGATTTTCAAAAATTAGAACAATTACAAAATCTCCTTGACCCAACTAAATTCTTAGTTCTTTTATCTACTTTTTAATAGTCCATACAACATTTTAAATTCAGTTAAGGACCTATTGAACTATGAAGGGTAGTTAAAAAGTAGTCAAATCTACTAGTTTTTTTATTGGGTGTATTTTTTACTAATTTTTTTGTAATTTTAAAATAACTGCTGGTGGATACACTGAAAAAAATTAGTCGAGAAATTCAACTACCGTTAGTTAGTTAGTTGACTGAAAAATAGTAAATTTCTTTTGGAAAACGTTTTATTGACCTCTCAAATAAGTTCGACTAGATATTAATTAATCTATCATAAATTCTATATTATTATATCCACCAGGAACATCATCGTCGACTAGTTTTCGTTATAGTAGCAGCAGTTATTTTAAAATCACAAAAAAATCAGCAAAAAATAAAGTTGTGGAATTTTATTGAAAATTTTGTGCAATTCTGTATGGAATTCTTCCAAAAAAAATTCGCAAAATTACGAAAGGAATACTTACAAAATTTTGCGGAATTCCGTATAGAATTTTTGCGGAATTCCGTATGAAATTTCCGTAGAATCGTTTCACCTGGGTGACACAACCAAAATTTTGTTAACGCAACAGAAAAATTTTGGTTTAAATACCAACTAAACGTTTTGTTGTCAAAACCAAACCCTTTTTTCAGTGTAAATATGAAAACGTAGAAAGAAAATACAAGGTAAATGTAGAATCATTTGTGATGCTCCACTAGAGAAGGGACGTTATTTACATTTGAGTTAAAGTCCCTTTTCTCCTGGAGCGTTACATTTGATGATTTAGTAGAATTTAATTAGTATCCTTGTCAAACTTTTAGCAAATACTTACTATTTGTTTATTCAATATCAACGATTCTGTTTAACGATATACCCCTTTTCTCAGTGAAATCCTAACCTTTACCTTTCCTAAAGGTAAAACGCCATTTAAAAAATTTCTAATTCTGTTTTATAATGTTAAACATTCTTTTAAATAAATTTCGAGAAATAATTTTCAATTTTCAATTACAGATAGATGAAAATGGTGATGGATTCATTGACTTGGCAGAATTGCGAAATGCATTAGACGTCTGTGGTTTTAAAATGCCAGGCTATAAGGTTCGTCAAATGATTGAAGAGTACGATGATAAACAAAGAGTAGAGCACAAAGGTCGTCTTTCATTTGAGGAATTTGAGAAATTATGCAAAGAACTCAAGGCAAATGAACTTGGTTCAACATTTAAGCAAGTTGTTTCAAAAAAGGAAAATCTTGAAACTTTAGGTGGTATTTCCGAAGCGTCAAGTGAAGGTACAACACATTCCGTACGACTTGAGGAACAACTTGCTTTTAGTGATTGGATTAATACAAATTTGGCACACGATCCCGATTTAAAACATCTTCTTCCAATTGATGGCGAGGGTAAAGCACTTTACGATAAAGTCAAGGATGGTATACTCCTATGGTAAATTTAATAATTAAAAAAAAATTGCCTTTAATCTTTAATGGATCTAATTTGTTTTTTTTTCTCTCTTTCAGTAAAATCATTAATCACTCATGTCCGGACACAATTGATGAGCGCACAATCAACAAAAAGAACATGACCCTCTACAAGAAACATGAAAATTTAACACTAGCCCTATCATCAGCACAAGCAATTGGTTGCAATATTGTTAATATTGATGCACACGATCTCACCAAAGGTTCACCACATTTGGTTCTTGGTCTTCTTTGGCAAATCATTAGAATTGGTCTTTTTAATCAAATTACTTTAGAAAATTGTCCTGGTCTCGCTACATTACTTCAGGAAGGTGAACGAATTGAGGATCTATTGAAACTATCACCTGAAATGATTCTATTACGTTGGGTTAATCATCATTTGGAAAATGCTGGCATTGCAAGAAGATGTACTAATTTTATGTCAGATATTACCGATTCAGAAATATATTCCCATTTAATAAAACAAATAGCGCCAAATTCAGCTGAAGTAACACTAGAAGCACTAATGGAATCAAATCATATGACAAGAGCCGAGATAATGCTTCAACAAGCTGGAAAATTGGGTTGTCGTAGTTTTGTCACACCAAGTGATGTTGTTAATGGAATTTATAAATTAAATCTTGCCTTTGTAGCAAATATGTTTAATAATTATCCATGTTTAGATAAACCCGAAACGAATATTGAGGGTCTTGAAGCATTGGAAGAGACACGAGAGGAAAAGACTTATCGTAATTGGATGAATTCATTGGGTGTTTCGCCACATGTTAATTGGCTTTATTCTGATCTTGCCGATGGATTAGTTATTTTTCAGCTTTATGATATTATTAAACCAGGTTCAGTTAAATGGAACAAGGTTCATAGGAAATTTACAAAGCTTAGGAAATTTATGGAAAAATTGGAAAATTGTAATTATGCAGTAGAACTTGGTAAAAAGATGAATTATTCTTTAGTTGGTATTGCTGGTCAGGATATTAATGATGGTAATGCAACTTTAACATTGGCTTTAATCTGGCAGTTAATGAGATCTTATACATTGTCATTATTGACCTCTCTTGGTGGAACACAAAATAATACAAGTGTAGAAAAAGAAATTGTACAATGGGTTAATTCAAAATTACAAACTGCTGGTAAAACAAGTAGTATTAAGGGATTTCAGGATTATGCAATAGCTGATGGAAAAGTTTTACTCGATCTTATTGATGCAATTAAACCAGGAACTGTAAATTATGATCTTGTCAAAGAAGGAGGAAAAGATGAGGTAAATTAATTCTGTTTCTAAAAGAGTAAAATTTTTTAAATTCTTTGTCAAAAATAAATTTTCATTATCTGTTTTTCTTTTGTTTCTAAAGTGAAGGAAACTTTTAACTTTATTTTCTGTTCGCTACATTTCAGAATTATCCTTGGAATAACTAATCGATGGGGGGATTTCTTTTTTTTTTTTATAGGAAAACTTGGATAATGCAAAGTATGCGATATCCTTGGCTCGAAAATGTGGGGCAAGAGTCTATGCATTGCCTGAAGACATTACTGAAGTGAAACAAAAGATGGTGATGACAGTATTTGCCTGTCTAATGGCTATGGACTACATTCCAAATATGGATTCAAAATCGAACAACGTTAATAATGTTCAATAATGAAATATTGCTTCTGGTTTTTTTCTCTACACTCTCTTTTTATTATTCTATCATGTGTATACAAAATTATATTCTCTTCGCCGAACGTTTTTGTTTTAAACGTTATAATCTACATATGTAAATATTTTAGATTAAGGTAGCTGATTTACAAATTTAATGGAAAGATTCTCAAAAAAAGAGTCATGAAAAAAACTGCAATTTTTGACCATTACGTGCAATATCTAATAATCACAACTTGAAAAGTTGGAAAAATGAATTAAACAGAAAATATAAATAATTGCACGTTCTTGTCAGGAAAATTAACAACAAAGTTGTATTTGTTATTTTACAAGGGGGGTTTTTTTTTTGTTTTCAAAAACTTTTTAATATCGGTCTATTATTGTACTATTAAAATAGTATTCAAAATACAAAAATATAAAATATTACGTAAGTATCGGAAAACTTGCGTAGTTTTTTTTCTTCTACGCATTTATCATTTATTTAATGATATTTGTTTTGTGAATTAACTTTATGGTAATCTATAACTCGATTCGAGTTGAAAATTTTGCGCCTAATATATATATATACTAAGATAAAAAATAAACAAATAAATTTGTTTATACACAGTCATAAATTAAATAAATAAGAGTATAATATGCAATAAAGTATTTGGTAACTATATATATTATAATCAATCAAATTTTTGAATAATTCGTCAAAAAAATCAATTCATATAAAATCGATACATTCTCCTTTTTACAAGAGAATAATCGATTTTCATTTTTATACGGGATATATTTTTCAGCGAATATTGTGTATTTATAAAATATATAGTAATTATATTTGCGAATAAATTATCTACAACTATTTAATATCAATTTACGCACGTAATTTTATATATGTCATATTTCGATTTTTGAGAGAAAGAAAAACTGTCTCTTTTTTTTTTTTTTTTTATTTCTCAACAAAATTATATAATAATGTGAGAATTAAAAATGCAACGATAATATGGCTGAAATTCTATTGAATAGACGCACATCAGTAATTAATATTAATAATAATAATAGTGTGCCATTATCAATTGTTGGGACTGCATTAAGCATTTCAGTGAATGAATCTATTTTTTTTTTGTTAGTTTATTGAAACATACGTACTTACGTAATTTTGTGATTTGTTTTTAGTTAAAATTATTGGAAAAAAAAGACATTAGAATTTTTTAGAAGATAATAAATAAAGTTTAAAGAAAAATTAATAACGGACCAAATAATTTTCTCATTTTTTTTTGAAAATTGGGCTTAAAAATACAAAGAAAAAAGAAAGTAGACATAAGAAAATAAATCATTGAAAAATGATTTTATTGTAAAAGAAAAGAAAATTTTCTTATAATGGACAAGGACTTTACAAAGCCATGTCGATAAGATAATAAAACGTTATATATAAAAAAAAAAACTAGTTTATATTTAGTACATTTGCCAAGCAATTGTTTCTGTAACGATAATTTTAATGTATCGTTATTCGGTATTATAAAATCAGCTTCTACGAAGGCTTTATATTTTAAACTTTTTTTTTTCTCTATTCATTTGCTATTGCAAATTTAAAAAAAAAAAATTATTTTTTCGTTATATATAGATGAAATTTTTTTTTTTTAAGTGCTAATTATTGGAAATATTATTATAAACGCGCTTGAAATACGATATGTAGAATGTGTGAGTGTAAATAGAATTTGTATTTATGCAATAATTTTTTTTTTTTTTTTCTATAGGAAAATCGAGACATAAAGTGCAATCATTTATCAAGAGTAATTTCTAATTTTTTTGAAGAAATTCAAATATAATTGATTTATGTCCATATAGCCGGAAAATTAACTTCTCGAAAATATATGAAATATTTAATCAAAATTTATAGTAGTAATAAAATTTTATTACTATAAATATTTACGCAAAAAAAAATAATAATAATCGAGAAGTAAATATTATGGGCTATTTTAATTAAATAGCATTTTAAGTAAAAATTGTACCATTTTGTTTAAATAAAAGAATGGGTCATGATTCTGATTCTAATTTAATATACTGTAAGCTTGAAAATAAAAAAAAAAAATTTACCAAATTTAAATATTGAGAATATTTATTTTTTTTTGTTCCATTTAATTTTTAAGTTCATTTCCAAAAAAAGAAATAAAAGGTTTAAAAAGAATTTATTTTTTATAATAAATGAATGACAATTAAAAAAAAAAATTAATAGAAATAGAAGTTAAATATAATTTTCTTTTAATTTAACAAAATAGAACTAAACATTTTTGATAAAAAAATTTTCGACAAATTTTTTAATTAACAAAATTAATCTCTAACCTTAATCTGCAACCGATGTATCAGACGAGGAAGATGTGATGGAAACACACGCGATTTAAAAAATTTCGAACACTGAAAAAAGAAAACATGTTTACTAAATGAATAAAATACTTTTTTTTAAAAAAGATTTAAGAGATCGCGATTTTAAAAATTTCAATCACTCTTGGAACAAAAAAAAAAAAAAAAAAAAAAAAAAAAAAAAAAAAAAAAAAAAAAAAAGAACCAAAAAAAAATTTAGAAAATATATTTTTAACACAGATAGCAAAATAGCTTTGATATATATTTCAAATAAATTATAGAGCCAGCGTTAAAATATTTTTAAAATACCTGGTACAAAAAGAATTTAATTTAATTTTTAGTCGTTTCTCACTAAAACTTTAGTAAAAATAATATAACAAAAACTTATTTTTCTAAAAAAAAAAAAAATGTTACTAAAATAGTGATTTTTACTAAAAATTAGTTAATGGAAATTTCTACTAATTTTTAGTCATCTCTCACTAAAACTTTAGTAAAAATAATATTACAAAAACTTATTTTTATAAAAAAAATTACTATATGATTTAGTAATAGTTTTTTTTACTAAAGTTTTAGTGAAAAATAACTAAAACTTTAGTAAAAAAAAAATGTTACTAAAATAGTGATTTTTACTAAAAATTAGTTACTGAAAATTTCTACTAATTTTTAGTCATCTCTCACTAAAACTTTAGTAAAAATAATAATATTACAAAAACTTATTTTTATAAAAAAAATTACTATATGATTTAGTAATAGTTTTTTTTTTTTACTAAAGTTTTAGTGAAAAATAACTAAAACTTTAGTAAAAAAAAAATGTTACTAAAATAGTGATTTTTACTAAAAATTAGTTATTGAAAATTTCTACTAATTTTTAGTCATTTCTCACTAAAACTTTAGTAAAAAAAAATATTACTAAACCAAATTGTAATATTTTCCTAAAAATTTGTGAATATTAAAATTAAAATTGCAAACTTTCAATAAGTTGACTAAGAAAATTTTAATTTTAGCAAAACAAAAAAATGGATTATTTTATTTTTTTATAGAATTAATTTAATCTGCAACATTTTTTAATACATATATAGTATTTTACTGTGATGAATATTAATTCTTGAAAATATTCAATAAATTAGTTTTATAAAGTTACATATGAGTAATTTCGAAATTTAATAATTCTATTAAAGGTAAAATTTTGTAACGTAATTCTCAACCTATAATTAAATTATTTCTCGATGTATTATTAACCATTGGAATTTAATAATTAAGGGAAGAACGCATGATATAAAATACTCTTGATTTTTTTTTACGGTTTTGTAACGTAAATCTCACAATTAAATTATTTCCTGATTATATTAACTGCTAAAAAAAATTCAGTAATAAATGTAAAGGAGAAACCTTAATTATTAGCAAATTAATTAGATTGGAAAATTCATCATAAAAAATAAAAATTAGAGCAAAAATTTGTATTTTTCAATATAAAAAAAAGACAATAAGTAATATTTTTTTATATGGTTTTTATTTGTATCCAGGATAAACCTAGAAACATTACAAGTTAAACTTATATAAAAAAAAAACATTAGCGAGTAGATAAATTTTTTAGAAAAAAATAAAACTAAAATTTTTCGATGACTTATTTTCTAACTAATGTATAAGAAAAATATTTTTTTTTTAAAAATGAAATCAAAATTTTTGAAAGTTTACGAAACTTTTTTTACTTTATTTTTTTTTTTTGTTTTTAATTTATTACTATATTATTTTTTTCAGACTTTATACTTTGAGTTCTTGAACGTTCATTTTAATGAAAATTGGCGTCGTTCCAGGATTTGGAATAACAGGCAACTTATCCTTAGCAGCTTCAATAGTTTTAAGGGTAAGAATTATTTTTTCCGTAATTTTAAATTTCTTATTATCGGATTCAAAACTTTTTGTCGCTTCAGTATGTGTGCATGATGAAAAACTAGTATCGGTTATATTCATTCGTGCTGTCACTGAATCCTAAAATAAAAAAGAATTTTTTTTTTTAAACAAAATTAATAAAAATAGAAAAAAAAAAATTCAATTTTTTTTTGTTGAAAACTTACGAGTTGTGTATTTAATCCAACTTCAGTTGTATTTTCCTTTTCATCACCAAAATTTGCCCACAAATAATTAACAAAATTTGTGCATTCCTTTAAATTTCGTATTTTTTCAATTTCAATATTACCTTTTGATACTTTATCCGGCAATGGTAAAACATCCAATATAAATGGATTATCTTTACGGATATTTTGCTCTCTTGGAATGTGATTAATTTTAAAATTAACTTTACATTCACCAATTGTTGAATTTTCTTTATCATCGAAATTCGATTGATTTTGTTTTTCATTGAGATTTGCGCCAATATTTAATTGATTAATAAATGCCTTGATAATATTTAAATTCCAATTTGATATATTTTTTTCAACAATTAAATTATCAATACCTGATTTATTAAATTTTATTTCAAAATAATTGAAATTCAATGGAATGCATTTAATAACATTCGTTGTATTGATTTCTGATGCTTTGTCATAAGAGCTTTTACAAGTTTCTGGAATTTGAAGATGGCAGCTTAAGGCTTCGGAATTTTTAGGTCGACAACGAAGTAATGCCGTTGTATTTGACGATAATCGAATATAATTTTCAGAATTAGCTGTTAAATTTGCTGTCAATTGAAATGTATATTCGGGACCAAATTTCCAGGCATTTTCCTCGACTGGTATTTGAGCAACTAAAAATTTTATATTAAATTAAAAAATTAAGAAAATGATTTTTTTTTTAAAATAAGGAATTAAATTGTTATAGAAATTAATTTTTTGCAAAAAAAAAAAAATTTACGTTAAAAAATATTATTTTTCATGTATACGAGAAGCAATTTGGCACATTTCTTATAAAAGGTTTCAAAATACTCTATAAAAAGGGGCAATAAAAATTGATTTGAATTTCTTATTTTGGTATTATTCCAAAAATCGTTTACACGAATTATTTTCATATTTTGTATCTTCAAAAAACATTTATTCTAAATATTTTATAGTTTATTGATTTTTGATCAATTTTTTAAAGAAACTAAAATTCATTACACAGAAAATTATAAGTTATTAAAATAAGCTTATTTTAATGCCTTTTAATTTTCTGTGATATTTAAATTCTTAAAAAAAATTCTGAATGCAGCAATTACTTTTTTGATTTTATAATGAGAAAAGCAAAACGTCTGTTTTCTTTATTTATTATTATTCACTGTTAAAAAAAAACTCATTCAATTTTTAAAATAATTTATACTAAATTATTACTAGAATTTTTAATTTAAAAAAAACACAACTAAAATTTTAGAATAAAATAAAATTATTTTAAAATTTATTAGCTAAAAATCGCTTTGTAAAATTTGACAATAAAAAAAAAAATTGTTAACTAAGTTTAAAATTTAGAAGATAAAAAGAACAAATAAAAAAAATGAAAATAATAAAAGTATAAAAAATTTAAAAATTTATTTGAAATTTTAATTTTTAAATTAATGAGCCAGAAAAATAGTTTTGTAAAAATTTCCTAACTTTTATATAAATATGTGTCTGTATATAGTAATTGTTGGTTGTTAAGATTTATTTTGTTAATTTGTTCAATAAATCTAATAAAGTAAAATAAAAATCTCCTTTCGAGTGTAAACTTTTAATGGGTGGATTTAAATAAATGTAAATCTATTAGCTTCACGTAGAAAGCAAAGCTTGTGATATCAATTGATAAAAAACTCGGTATTCCCGTTGAATACAAAATAAGTAGACAAAAACTCATCAAACGTTATATCGGTTTTTAACTCTATACACATTTGAGAACATTTAATATGCATCTACTGCTTTTCCATTTCTCTTGTGAATAAAATTTTTTTATAAAAAAAAAAATATATTTTTTTTATAAAAAAAAAATATGTTTTTTTTATTACCATTATTTGTATAGAGAATTAAATACTCCATTTAAAAATTGTCAATATGCTTCTTTATTCATATGAATATTTTCCCGAAATATAATAAGTACATTTTATTTTCTTAAATAGAAAATAAAATTATATTTTCAAATAAATAATAATTTTTTAAAGCAAAAAATTCAATTTAAAACAAAATATTTTGCACACACATTTAATAATAATAAAATATTTTATAATTATTATTATTTTTTTTTGTACTTACCCAAAAAGAATGGTATAAGAATGACGATCATCTTGTCACTGTATGATGAAGAGATTTAATGTTGCTCCCGGTCACGACCGCTCTCTTATATCACTGATAATGTGTTCACAAACTGACCTCACCGTTGGTAGGTAATTTAAATAATTCACTTAATATCATTTCTACGTCGTTTGTGAGACTATTATTTCATGAATAGCAGCTTTTGACCTCTAAAGAATTAGGTGAAGTGCAACATATAGCGACAACATTTTAAGGAAATAAACACTCATCTCTCGAAAGTTTTTTTCCAGTCATCACAATTCATTAATATATTATAAGGGGGATGTGAATTTCAATCGCAATGGCACTTTCCATATTGAAATTTATTAAATCAACATTTCATATAAACATTAACGAAATAAAATTTCAATAAATGTTTATTAAAAATAAATATTAATCTTTTGACAAAATTAATTAAATTAAAATGTATACAAATAACAAATGTTAAAACAATGTTATTTAACCATGTCTTTTTTTAATTAATTAAATTGATTATTATTATTTACAATATATAATAATATTATATATATTATATAATAATATAATAATATATTAATATAATAATATAATAATATAATAATATAATAATATAATAATATAATAATATAATAATATAATAATATAATAATATAATAATATAATAATATAATAATATAATAATATACAGTTAATAATAATATTTATAATAAATAATATAAGTTAATATTATTTATATTTATATAATAAAAAAAATAGTTTTTTAACCGTTGCATAAAATATATAACAGGAATTGATAAGCAAAAGTTTCTAGCCTGTTATCATTTTATTCTATAACGGCATTTTATTAGATTAGTCACTTTAATACCATTGCACTTAAACGATTATTTAATCTCTGCTATTCTGACAATTAAATGAGTTCTTTAGAAATGCCATTAAATAATCTTTGGAACTGACCTGTAAGAAACTATAATAAATAAAATTTTTCAATATTTTTTTACTAAAAAAAATTATTTGATTCAAATAAACGACTATTATCAAATAAATATATAATTGTTTCAAATAATTATTATTTGAAATGGTATTTGTTTCAAATACAAAAATTATTAGTTCCAATATAGTTTATTTAATTCAATTATTAAAAATTATTCAGATTAAGTAAATATTTATTTGAAAAATAGTCAAGTAACAGATTATTTGAATCAAATATATTTTTTTTCAGTGTAAAAAAATGAATTTTCAATTTTATATATTAAATATCTAGTTTATTTTTATATTATTATATAACTTTTTTTAAATAAATAATTTATTTATAATTTATTAATAATAAATAAAAATTTATTAGAGAAATTTTTCTTCTAAAAGATAAATTTTTCATTTAACGAAGATAGAAAACTTATTTGTGATGTTCAGAGTCTTTTGAATGTTAAATATTAATATAATTTAATATTTAATCTGTTGATACTTAAAATGATTCAATTTAAAAATTCTTTGAAGTAGAAAATTTTCTTTTATATATTGAATATAGCTTACAACATATATTATAACATTTTCTTTTTTAATTAGTAAAAATTAGAAAAAAAATTCTTTTCAATTATTTCCTTATTAATTAATATTTTATTAATGTAATACCATAAAAGTTGATAATTTCAATTTTTTAGACTTGTTGGAAAATTTCCTTGTAAACAAAAAAATCTACTTTTGTCATGCGCGAAAAATTCAAAGATCTAGATTCTGAACGTGCCAAGTAGTAATATTCCAGTCGCGTCAGTCAGGCCGACGAAAGTAGTAGTGCTCTACTGATAAAATATCAAGAGCTTAAACATTATTCACTACGAAATATTTTTAAAACCAATAAAAAAATTTTAAAAACGATCTAATATAATTTAATAATAATAATAATAATTAATAATAATAATAATAATAATAATAATAATTAATAATAATAATTAATAATAATAATTAATAATAATAATAATAATAATAATAATAATAATAATAATAATAATCGTGATAACATTAATTATTATAATTAATAATATTTAAAAATTCAAGAATTTTTTTCAAATTTTCGTCCAATTTATAAAAAGAATTTACTTTTCGACAACAAAAGGAATGTTAATTTTTTATTTCAATTTTTTTTTTTTTTGAATACTAAAATTTAAAAAAAAACTTCGGCTACAATTTAAAAAAAATGGTTAAGTGGTGTTATTAAAAAAACAAAATAAAAATTGTGTTCAAGTGAGTATGTATTACGTTAAATAAATAAATTAATTTTTCTCTTAAATTTATTTCATTTTAATTTTTGCGTTTAGTTTTTTGATAAAACCGTTTTTAATATAATTCACATTATATATAAAAATAATTTTTTATCAAAGAGGTTAAAATTTAAAAAAAAAAAGTTTTTCTTTATATCATTTAAAATTTTCCTCAACTATATATATATAAACAGATTTCAAAGAAAAAGAAAACATTCTCTTGAAAAAGATATTAAAAAAAAATTATTCTCTTCCTTTGAAATTGTTTTATATATATGGTTGGAGGGTATTTTTTTTTTTTTAGAGCGAAAAGAAAAATAAAGTTAAAAATTACATTTTAACAAAAAAAAAATTATATCCAATTATTTTTATTTTAAACATCATCTAATTTAAATAAAAATAAAATTTATAATTTACAGATATATAAAAATTTTTGTAATTCGAATGATTTTATTATTTTGTATTATTTTTATATAAATTTATTATTTATTAAATTATTTTTCAAATTAATAAATGTATAAAATTATTGTCAGCGTTTAAAAAAAAAAAAAAAAAAAAAATATTTTTAGACATTCAACAATTTTTGGTGAGAAATTTTTTATTCGTAATAATTTTTTAAACTCACGTATTAATATGATTCGATTGGAAAAATATTTTTTTTCAATATAATATGTCTACCCACTCGAACGAGATAATGTATTGAAGGTTAGTGAAAGAGAAAATTTTTTAACAAATATGATTTGTCATTATTCTCCCCTTACACCATATATTTCTTTATAAGAAAGTTTTTTTTTTTCATTTTAATGATAAATATAATATAACAAATGAAAAATAATGATATCGATAAATCATTCATAGAAATTGAAAATATTATTTTAAACGAAACTAAAAAATTGAAATTTAATTTAAAAATTTCATTTTTCAAATAAAGAGAATATTTTTAAAAAATATAATTAATTTTATCCACGTTCTAAATTTCTTCTACGCAATATTTCAGGCATTTCCGATAGGGGCGAACCATTAAATTAAATCTAAAATAGAGAAAAAAAAATCTAACAAATCACACATGAAGATTTGACTTTAATGTAATTACGATAAAATCTTGAATTATTAATTTTTCGATAATTCAATTTTATAAACGGAGATTATTGGAAAATATGTCCGAAGAAGAAGATGAATCATCACCATATAAAGATCATTTTCTCTATAGGATCAATGAACGATTTAAAAATCCAGGAAATTATACAGAAGATTTTTCAAAACCATATTTAAGGCCAATTTTCTATAAAATTTATCCATTAATAATATTTATTTATGCAATATTAATAATTTCGGGAATTATCATGAATTTGTCAATGGCATATCATATATGTAAATTTAAATTATATAAAGATCCAACATATGCATATTTAATAAATATGATAATATCCGATATTGTAAAGTGTCTATTTTCACTACCATTGTCATTAGCTGTGATATTGATTGACAATTGGATATTTGGAAAATTTCTCTGTTATTTTCTTCCAATGTTACAGGTAATTAAAAAAAAAACATATATAACATATTTTTCAAATTTAAAAAATTTTTTAAATGTTTTGTCTGACATAAATCATTTTTTACTACTGTTAGTATATTTTTACATAAGAATTAAAAATAAAACAGCGTACTGAAAAAAAAAAATTATTTAGTCAAGTTATACTTGACTCAAGTAAATATTTACTTGAATTAAAAAAATTTATTTGATCTATAATCGGTTATACTTAACTCAAATAAATATTTCCTTGAATTAAGTATAATGACTCAAATAAAAATATTATTCGGTTCAAGTAAATATTTATTTTGATAACATAAATAGTAACGGATTATTTGAATCAAAAAATTTTTTTTCAGTGCAGTAAATTTTACTATTTTGAAAATAAAATCCTTATCATATGTTGTCTGCCTGTATCTGTTTTTTTCTACTGAAATACTGAATTGTAAAAAATCGATCCCACTTTGTCTGACTAAAATTTACTGTTTCTACTAATTTCTGTTATTTTTACTTTGTCTGACTAAAATGTACTTTTACTACTGATATTATAAAGAAGTCATTACATTTTGTCTGACTCGAACTTATTTTTCTACTAATGTCAAAAAAAAAGAATTTTTAATCTAAATTACACTTAAAATATTATATTTCCTTTAGATTTATTTAAATATTCTAGTAATGAAATGAAATAAATTAAAAGTTGTCTAATGATAACTTAAATTTTCTACTGACAATTATTTAAATCATGAACAATTTAATATATACTGTCTGACTAAAACTGCATTAAACTACTTATTATAAAGTTACAATAATTTAGAGTCATGTCTGTCTGAATTTTACCACTTATAGAACTTAAAATTATGACGTCTGACTGAAACCCCTCAGAGACTACTAATATCAAAACAATTTTTAATTTTTACTAAATTTTTACTAAAAATTGTTTTTATTTAAATACTAAAATTATAAAAATTCAAACCATTTTGATAACTTAATTTTAGTATTTTCTATACAATTATTAGAATTTAAAAAAACATCGTAAAAATAAAAATTTCCTAAAAAAAAAATTCACTTTTAAATAATCGGTTACTTAACTATTATTAAACAAATATTTTCTTGAATCAAATAATTTTTATTTGAATTAAATAAATTATATTTTCATCAATAATTTTTGTATTTGATTAAATGTAAATATATAAAGTAAATAATTAATTATTAAGTAATTATAATTAATTATTAATTAATTATAATTAATTATTAATTAATTATAATTAATTATTAATTAATTATAATTAATTATTAATTAATTATAAGTAATTATTAATTAATTAATAAATAGTGAAAAAAAATTTATTTAATTCAAATAATTGGTTAGGTACTTGACTATTATATTATCAAATAATTTTTATTTAAATGAAATAAACTATATATTTAAATCAATAATTTCTCTATTTGAAACAAATAAAAATTTAATTGACTTAAATAAAAATTATTTTAATCAAATACATATTAGACTAATTGATAATGCGGGGCAATTAATTGTTCCAATTAAATTTTATATAATAAAACAAAAATCTATAATAAAATAAAAAGTACAATAAAACAAATCATTATCTTATCAAAATATACGATTAATATACGAATATTGTTCAGATATAATGACTTTTTTGTTTTAATGCACTCATCGAATATTGAATAATTGTAATATATAATAATGGATTAATTATTAAAAATAAAAATTTCCAAATAGTTAATAAAAAAAATTTTTCAACATTATTTCGAGATATAAATGTGTAAAAAGAATTTAACAAATTTTTTTTATATTCAAGCTAATTGATAGGGATCACAGAAAATTGTTTTACAATATATATAGTTGATAGAATATTGGGATGAAAAATATGTGAAGTATCCAAGAAATATATGCACATCATTATATTTATGTGAAAACAATGACTATGTGTGCGAGTGAGGAATGTTGGAAAAAAAGCAATAAATTATTTTCCTAAGGGAAATATTATTTTCACAGATGAAAGCAATAAAATCGAGGTATTGTTGAAAAAGGGATATATTAATTGGACAAAATTCAATAATTTTGAAAACTGTTTTATACACTATAAATTCAATGAAAAAATGATGATATACAAAGATTTTGTTTCACCATATCTGACTTATTGTATATTAATATGGAATTAAATTAAATTAACTTTTTTTTATCGCGTCTTTAAATTTATTTATTAATAATGTTTTTATATAAAAAAAAAAAATTTTTTTTGTATGTTATAGGATATTCCATTTCATATATCGATGTTGACATACTTGTTAATAGCAATTGATAGATTAAAAATGATCAGTGAACCAGGAAAGCCAAGAATACCAGCATTTGTTTTTGCCTTAGGGACTTGGTTTTTTGCTGGATGCATCGTTTTACCATATCCAATTTACACTACTTATTTGGATTTAAGTGTAAATAAATAATTTAATTATTTAATTTATTTAAATTAAATAAATTTAATTTTAATTTAATTTTAATTTAATTTTAATTTAATTTTAATTTAATTTTAATACTAGTTTAAATCGATATTAGTTATAATCGATATTAATTACCAGCGATATTAACTATTAGCGATACTAGTTATCGATATTAATAATTTAATTTAAATAATAAAATTATTATTAAATAAGTAAATTTATTAAAATTACTTTTAATTATTTTTGTATAATTGTAATTATTATTACACTGTTAATTTGAATGTTTCATATTACAACGAATTAATACAGATATTTGTATTAAAACATATAATTTGATCCAAATATTAATATCAATTTCATCTAATTCGGTATCAAATTAAGGGGTGCATGATTATCCCATAAAAATTATTAGTGAGAATTTTCAACAATTTCATTACATATAATTATTTTTTACACGAATTTTCATTTTTTCAAATTAACATTTGTCAGAATTTCTTTTTTTTAATGAATTTTTAATTAACAGAATTCTTAGGCACCGAAATTTTATTTGTCAGAATTCCGAATTTTCATTTGTCCGAAATTGCAAATGTCCGAACAAACAATCGATTTTGGCGCGATTTTTAAAATCAACCAATCACAATTTTATGGATAATTTTTGATTGGTTGATTTTAAAAATCGCGCCAAAATCGATTGTTTGTTCGGGTATTTGCAATTTCGGACAAATAAAAATTCGTCGTTTTATAAGAATTCTGCCAAATAAAATTTCGATATATAAGAATTATGTTAAGTAAAGTTTAAAAAGTAATTCTGTCAAATGTTAATTGGAAAAATAAAAATTCGTCTAAAAAATAATTATATTTAATAAAATTCTTTAAAATGTAAATTTTAACTAATAATTTTTATGGGATAATCATGCGCCTCTCAAATTGATATACCTTCAAGAAAACAGTATAATTATTAATTTACTGTAATTATTGCAAATAAATTAATTACATATAAAATAAATAATTATTCATAAATAATAAATATTCCCTTTTGTAACGATCAAGTGAAACTCATTAATAATTTCAGATTACACTAAAAAGCCATTTTGAAGGATTGGAATTATGCTTCGCAAATTTGGTAGATGATATGAGGGATTATATGCGAGGCTTGTTTATTGGCACGTAAGTATATTATTTCTCAAAATATATTAAAAATAAAATTGTCACGTATATGAAATAAATATAAGAAAAAAAGTATTTAATAATAAAAACTAATAACGAAAATATAAAATAAAATCGTTATTCATGAATAATAAATAGGAAAAAAATATTTAATAATAAAAACTAATAATAAAATAATAAAAATTATTTCTTTTTTTTTAAATAAATTTTAGAATGTAGATATTTCAAAACATAAAATATAAATATTATTGCTTATATATGGAGAAAATATATTTGTGAACATTTCTTAATAAAAAATTGAAAAAAATTTTAATGGATTTTAAAAAATTTCGCGAACATTTTTTTTTTTTCAAAATGAATGAAACATAAAATAAAATCTGTGATAATCTTTTTATTTTCCATGCAAATTAATGGTTGAGAAGGTGGGTATTACCATGGGTGGGATTTAGAAAATAAAATAAAATGGAAATTTAAAGTAACTTCAAATGTTCGAAATCTCCTTCCTCTCTTGAGAGAAGGAGAGACATGAGAAGAAGCGAATAAAGTTGAGAACCATGGGGGTCACATAAAATAGAACAATTTATTTCTTTAGGGATAAAATAAATTATAGGTGTGTGTGTGTGTAAGACTTATTTAATGTTACCACAAATTTTTTTTATTTCTCATATTTCTATTATCATAATAATATTGAACTATATTTCTTTCTAAATTATAATTTAATTATCAAATCTAGAAAATTTAATTAATTTTCTCCTTTTTTTTGCAATAATATATTAAGCGATTTGTAAAAAATTTGTTCTAAATTTTTTTAAAAACACCCTAGAACTTTTTAAGTGCATATATATATATAAAAGTACAGTACTTTTAGACGGAAATGGGAGTTCTTTAACGTTACGGTTAGTGATTTGAAGACTAATGTCTTCGTATTGTTATCAGATAGATAAAAATTAAAGACATTAATCACAAAGTCTTTTAAGAAAAATGGTTTTTTTTGTATTATTTACACGATATTGATTACTATTTGTATAACTGTTTCATATTGTAAAAGTATTTTTTTAAAAAATGTTTCAATTATTTTCAAATCGCAATTCAAAAAAAAAAACTAACTTTAAAGTAATTTTATTTTTATAATGTTAAATATTCAACCATTCGGCGATAAAAATAAATTTTCAAATTTTCTTATAGTTTTTAATTGATTTAATTTTGTAATATTATCGAAAAAAATGAATTCAATGAATTTTTATAAATAACTTATAAATAATTAATTCTTTTTGAATATATATATACACAGAAAATTAAAAGGCATTAAAATAAGCTGCAACGCTTATTATTTTAATCCAATTTTGCTTATTTCAATAACAAAATCGATTAAAATAAGCAAAATTGGATTAAAATAATAAGCGTTGCAGCTTATTTTAATGCCTTTTAATTTTCTGTGTATATATATATATTTTCTTTAATCTCTCATGCATGTGAAATTTATTCTGAAATATTAAAAATTTCTTTATTATATAGAGTTCAACTTAAATATTTATCATTCTGAATTCATTTTTATTATCCAAATAAAAAAAATTATGTAAAATTCACTGAATTTACTTTTTCTGTGTAGAAAAAAGAAAATTGCACATTTAATTCAAGAAGAAATGAGGTCAATTTTTCTTTATTTAAAAAAAAAAAAAAAAAAATCCCATTCTCTGTTTTACAGATATGCAGCTCCTCTAGCAATAACAGCGTATTTGTATGTAAAAGCAAGCAAAGAATTGCAATATGCAGAAGATTCTTCAGGAATAGGCTTGTCAGAAATTCGAGATACTCGCTTGAGAGACAACAGTAATACAAGTAATGACAGTCCGTAAGTTTTGTTTTTTTTTTTAATTGAAAAAATTATTATAATTAAATCAAAGATATAAATTTTGTTTTTTAATTAATATAATTTCAAAAATATATATAATATATACTTCACAGAAAATTAAAAGGCATTAAAATAAGCTGCAACGCTTATTATTTTAATACCTTATAACTTTCTGTGTTATTACGATAAAAATATTTTTAAAATAAATTTTTTTTTTAAATTATTAACATATACTGAGAAAACAATCTATTTAACTTTAAAGTAGTCCTTTTATCCTAAACGAATTTTCCTTTTAATATTTATTTAAAAGGATTTAATTGTTTTTTGATAAAAGAAAAGTTCTTTAAATTACATTCTTTACTTACAAAACGAAATTATTTTACTAAAACTAAAAATTTTGTAAAAAAAACAAAAATAAATAATATATTATTAATTTTTTTATTAATTATTTAAGTAGGTAATTAATTCATTTATTATTATTATTATTATTATTATTATTAAAAATATTTTCTATTATTTTTTCAAACATTTTTAAATTTAAAAGATGACTTAATTTAAAAGAAAAACTTGTTAAGTTTAATAGATCATTTTTCTCAGTGCATATATAGTATATTTTTTATGTTATCAAAGTAAAAGAAAACTATTTTATCTAAAAAAAAAATCAAATATTCTCTTTGAAGAATCACCATAATTCCAGTTCCATTTACAAAAACAAAAAATAAATAAAATTCCACAGTTCTTTGTATATATTTTATAAAAAAAGATTTTAAAATTGGAAAAAAGAATATCAAATTCGTCAGTCTTGGACAATATAAATTTTCTTTTCATATTTTTATCACCGAATTTAAAAAACTTACAAAATTTCTTTTAATCTCAAATTTACAATAAATATAAAAATGAATCTAAATTTTTTTTAACTGAATAAAAAAAAATAATAAAATAAAAATATTTCCTTTATACAATTCAAATGTAATACGTAAAAATAAAAGAACAAGCGCAACTTTAAATTATTGTATCGAATTGATACAGAGTTTTAAATTGCATTGTCTTTCTATGTGAAATTGTACTTTTACAACACACACATGAAATATTTATATATATATATATATATACAACATGTTCTCAATAATTTACAACTCAAAATGTAATTTTGAAAAAGCAATTTGAGTGTTAATGGAATTGTCCGCCAATGAAAATTTGTTTTTTAGAAATACGCGAGATAGTAAACGTGAGAATATTGTGAGAAGAGATTCACTTGGTCTACCTATTGAATATGATGACATAGAATTGGATATTCCAAAAGAAACAAGAACACAAAAATATCTTATATTTATGGTATCAGTTTACGCTACTTGTCTCTGTCCTCTCATGATCCTAAGGTACAATAAATATATATATATACAATAATTAAACTAATTGCTTGTCAGAAATGCGATAAGTTGTAATATAAATAATTATATAGATGAGAAAAAAAATTAATTATCAATCAGATAAAATTTCATTACAGAAATATTTTTTTTTCGAAAACATAAAAAAATTTCTTAATTCAAATTATATTTTTTTTTTCAATAGAAAACAAAGTGTAAATAATTTATTTAAAAAGTATTTAAATTCTAAGTGAAATTTTTCAACATAAAGGAAAGAAAAAAAAATTGTAGCTTTAGAATTAGGAACGAATAAATGTTAAAAAAAAAAAAGGGAAATGCATAGAAATTGAACAAAAGAAATCCTCTGAATGGAGAACGACAAAAAACTTCATTTTGTCAGAAAGGAAATAATTCTATTTTATATACTTTTATAAGAAAGTTTGTCAATAAGTATTAATTAATGAAAATTTCGTCGCTTCACATATTCATAAAAGGTTTATTGAAATATACGATTATAAAATAATTCTAATTGAAGTTTATCCGTACAATAAGATTTCTATTTCTATGCAAAGTTGCTTGCAAAGTGATATGCGTATTTAATATTATTCCTATTGTTCTTATTATTATTATTATTTTGATTAATATTTTTATTATTATTATTAATTTTATTTTAAAATAAAAATTTTATTTGTCTTTAATTTTTTAGTTTTAATTTTTTACTGTGAAATTAATTAAAAAATGTCTGTTGTTTTTTTTTAAATTAAATATTAATTATATTATTATTTGTAAAAAAAAAACATATAAAAAAAAGTAATATTCTTTTATAAACCTATAAATGATATTATTTTGAGATGGAAAATTTTCTTTAAAAGTCAAAACGTTTAAGTGCACGTGCTTTTAAAATATATCTTATCACTTTAATAATAGTAGAACAGCTTCTAATATATAAAACCTCATAGAAATTTTCAACGCAATATTTACATAATTTTATAGCTTAATTCCTTTAATATTGCAGATTAGCAAAACTTGCTCTCTATGAAACTTACGAAAATAGTGGATATTTCGACATTTTGTATATTTTGTTCGTTTGGATTGCATTTTTACCCACTGTAACAACACCTGGATTTTATGCTTTTTGGCAAATGACAAGGTAAGTTCATTTTTTTCATTAGAGTCGAAAAAAAAAATATTCTCAAATTGAAAGACAAATATTTTTAAAGGGATTTTTTTTCTCTCTTTAACAGAAAAATATTTTTTTTATCGAAAAAATAAATTAAAAAATAAATTTTTTTTTAAAATTGTATAAAAAAATATTCCAAACAAATGTATAGAATCTGTTTTTTTTACAATAAATCGTTTCTTCATTGTTAGTTATAAAAAACAATATTTTAATTAAAAAAAAATGTCTATTAACGTTTGGGAAAATTTATTTTTTGAAACATATTTTACTCGATTTTTCATAGTATATATAAATATACATATATAAAGATATACGTTTAAAAATAATTGACAATCAAGTTAATTTGCCATGAAAAATGTTATACGCCTTTTCCAAGTATAATCTCCACCCTTGCATATAAAAAGAGGGTAATTCAAACAAAGAATAAAACTGAATAGTTATACGATTTTACATTATTATTATCTTTCTATATAAACGGTATAAAAAAAAGGAAAAAATTCGTGAAAATATTTAAAATAAATAAAAAAGAGAAACAACTGAGAGTCTATTGTACTTTATTAAAAAAAAAAAAAAAAAAAAAAAAAAAAAAAAAAAAAAAAAAAAAAAAAAAAAAAAAAAAAAAAAAAAAAAAAATACTGAGGTTGGCAAACTGATGTGTGTGAAAAGAAAAAGAAAAAATCACACGAAAAATCCTGTCTGAAACTATTACACAATCCTGAGAGTAGTGACCCACTTTTAGGAGCAGAGGACAAATTCGATGAATAATGTATATGTTACGTATATATATATATAGTGAGAATAGATTCATGTGATATTAGTCCTTTGACATGACTAATGATAACTATTGTTGAATATCCATACATACACGGAAAACAGTTTGGTCCAATCGAAAAAAAAATTTTCCCGTTATAATTAATCTATACAATTTAATTAATTTGTTTATTTTGTTTATTTTTTTATTTTATTTATATTCATTAATTTAATTAATTTAATCACTAGGTCTAAAATAGTCTTTTTTTAACACTTTCAAATTAATGAAACAAATAATGACCATTTTTAGCCTAAGGGATTAAAAAAACATTTTTTCTTAAACCGAGGAAGTAAAATGAATAAGTTCTAAAAAATCAGTTAGAATTTTCATTTATCAGATATATATATATATAATTTTCATTAACCGAATTTTTATTTGTACGAATTATTATTTTGCAAAAATTTTCATTAAATCAATTTTCTACCCCAGGGTGTCTACTAAAAATCTGAATTAAAATTCCAGGACTTTTCCAGGACTTTCCAGGACAAATTTCTTATTTTTCCAGGACATTAAATTAAATAACTTTAAGGATGAATAAAAATTTTTTTAGTTTAACTATTGTTTTTAGAAATTATTAAAAAATTAATTAATTACTTAAGTAAATTTTCATTTTACTTATTTAATAATTTTTTTTTAACTTGATTGACAAAATTAGAAATTTTTGAAAATTTAAAAGGTCTTTCAAGGTCATTCCAGGACATTTTTTCAAATTCTAGGACATTTCCAGGACTTTCAGGACTAATAGACACCCTGTACCCAATAAAAATTCATTAGTCTATATTATGTGAAATAAAAATACGAGAAAATAAAAATTATATTAAATAAAAATTTGAGCAAATAAAAATTCTGTAAAATGAATTTTCTGTTATATATAACAATTCTGTAAAATCGATTTAATGAAAAATCCAGCAAAATAATGATTCGAATAAATAAAAATTTGGTTAATAAAAATTATATTCAATTCTATTAAATGAAAATTGTAACAATTGATTTGTATAGAATCAAGTAAAATAATTTTTTTTTAACTCTATGAAATAAAAAAAAAAATTTAATTGAATCAAACTATTTTCAATCACAGAAAATTAAAAGACATTAAAATAAGCTGCAACGCTTATTATTTTAATCCAATTTTGCTTATTTTAATACCAAAATGGATTAATTCGTATTATTATTTTTCGCTTATTATTTTAATCCAATTTTGCTTATTTTAATACCAAAATGGATTAAAATAAGCAAAATTGAATTAAAATAATAAGCGTTGCAGCTTATTTTAATGCCTTTTTAATTTTCTGTAATATGATTATTAAAAAATATGTTGTTTTTAATAACAATTTTTCCTCAAAAAAAACAAATTAGAAAAATAAATGCATATATAAACCTCTTAATTATTAAAAATTATTAATGAATGCAAAATGTTCTCTCTAATGAATTACTAAACCAAGTTGTAAGTAGAGATTATTATTCTATATAACGAATGATGCTTTCATATAATTATACCGAAATTTGTTTTCGTTAATTTACTATATTTATATGTAAAAGTTTAATTATCTATATATAGATATAGTGAAATAGTAAGTTAGTGAATTTTGCTCATAACTTAACTTTGAAAAGCACTCAGCTGTAGTGGTTAATAATTTTATAAGTCGTTGTTAAAAGGAATTATTGATATTGAAAAATTTTAATATAGAAATATATTCTTCAATTAAGAATAAATTCTCATATAATTAATTTTGTCTTATTTTCAATTTAAAAATATTTTTTTCCCTAATGCTAAAATAATTCAATGTGAAATTAACATAAAAATAATTATTTTTTTGTTTATATAGAGCAAATAAGGAAAGTCTTCGCAACTATTTTCGTTCTTATTGTTGTAATACTAGAATAAATAACGAAAGTAATAGAATTCCTCAAAATGAATTAGAAACAGTGGATGAAGAGCAACACTGCCGAATAGCAAATATTACCGGAAATTATAGTGGTCATCATACAGGAAGTCAAAGAGGAAATGTCAGAGGAAGCTTCCAGACAAACAGTAACACAAATTGCTCAGATTTATAAAGTGCGCGAATATATATAAAAAAAAATAATAATAATAATTCAGTGTTCATTGTCTAAGTGTATATTTCTAAATTTCACACGATAAAAAAAAGAACATTTTTTTTTAAACAAAAAAGAAAATGTTTTGTTTAAAAAAAAAATATATATCAATCTGTTTTTTTGTAGAAGTTAAAATTATTTTTTAATATTCTATGTTTAATATAAATAAATGGCCCCTTTTTTATTATCTCATATGTAAAAATAAATTTCGATATATTTTTCATATTGTCGCATATTTTAACTTTAATTAAATAAATTTCTATATTTTAAACGTATTAAAAATGTAAATATAGATTTAATTTCATCGAATAAAAATTAAAAATCTTTTTTTTTAAAAAAAAACGTTTCAAATTAAATAAATTTTAATTATTTTAATTATTATTTTATTTTATTTTTATTTTTAATTTAAAAAAAAATTTTTTTTCTCATTCATTTTTCGCGTAACTAATTCTTCTTAATTTATATTCATTATATTATTTAATTTAAAAAAAAATAACATTATCAGAATAAATGTTGATAAAATATAATTTATATACATAAATATAGTAAAAAAATAAAACTAATTATACATATAAATAAAATAAAAACTCACCCCTCATTATTTCAGTATATAAAAAAAAGCCACCGGTGGAGGTTATATTTTTGCAAATTGTATTCCACCCCTCTCACATATATAACGAAGTATTGGATCTGAAACAAAAATTTATTATAATAATAAAAGTAGATAATTAAATTCGCATCTATTGTAAATTATATATATGTGGAAAACAAATAATCAATTCAATTGGTTTCATTATTCGTTAAAATTTAATATTATATATATGGGTGAAAATTCCTGAAGTGGCCCCCTATTTGCCAAAGGTCGAAATTTTTTATCGAAACTTCACAAAAATGTAGTTCCAATATATTTAAAAACATCCCCTAAATTTTTTTGAAAAATATCCATTTGTTTATTTTTTATAAACAATTGAAATTTTATGCATAACATTTTTCAAAATTGCATAACTTTGACAAATATTGACGAAATTTTATTTTTTTTTTTTAAATTACTGATGAAATTCTAAACTTTTTGAAAATAATTTTTACAATTTTGAAACTTTTCATTTGTTATAAAAAAAAACTTTTTTTTATAAACAAATTAAAAAATAAACGTGTTCTGGATGAGTATTTTCAATTTTATAAACATAGACTTGATAAGAATTTATTGAGGATTTATTTAAAAAAAAAAAAAAACGGTAATGTGGAATAGTTTAATAACAATGAATTTTTTTTTAAAGCGCGCTCGCACCCCGTGCAACGCGCCTGAACACGTTGCACACTGCACTGCCCGCGTATACCGTGACTTTAAGAAGCCGTGGTCTAAAATTAAAGTAATAAATTGAGTATTAGTAAATTATTTATTGTTTGTTACATATTGTTAAATAAAGTAATATAATTTTTTTACACAAACATTAATTTTAGATAATTTTTACAGTAACTGATTCATCATGTTTCCCAAATATTTTACATTTTATCTCGTTCTTTCCAGTGGGCACAAATTGATGAAATTGCCTAGTATTTTTTATTGTTTTTGCAGTTAAGTATCGCTGTTCAAGTTTTTTGGCATGAGTTTTGTGTTCTTCTTTAGAACAATAATCAAATTCAATAGATTTAAAATATGCCTTTGCCCACTTAAATAACGATAATGGTCCCGTAATTTTTTCCTCACTTCGGTTTTGTAAGGTTGAACGATAAGCATTTCTTTTTACAACCCCACCAATGCCGTCACATGCCCCTTTGCCATGTGCTGAAGCGAAAAAATTCCAATCGGCATCAATTTTAAAATCCTTCTTATGATATAAAAGGTTTATAAAATTATATTTATTTTTGTATTGCGAAGCGGCTCCGTCTGAGAAATAATGAATTTTTTTAATATTTCGCTTTCCAAAAGACTTCACCATGAAAAATATTAATTTGGTGTTGAATAAATTTACAGCAGAGCTGTCGTGTTCCAAGTCCTCAGAAATTATTACAAAACTTTTATGTTTTAATTCGCCATTTTTTTTATAATATGTAACGTATGGATGAATAGTTGCTTGCTTTGTACTCCAATATTCAGATTGCACCGAATTTTGAAGACGACAAGCATAATTTTCAGAAAAATCTAAACATACGATATACTCTTTGTCCCCTAAATTATTTTTAGTGTCAGAAAGAAATTGAGCTTGGACTTTTGAAAGAAAATCATGTTTTACGAGAACATGTAAATCGCGCGTCAAGTTTTTAATAAATTCTTCTGATGATTCTTCTTTGGCTTGTAGAGTACATCTGTTAGATAAAAAAATTATAATGAAATAAATATAATTTAATTTTATTTAAATGCGAACAAATATAAAAGCTAAAAATTTCAATTAAAAATATTATTAATAAAAAATTATTGAGCAGAGTTTTTTTTTATGAAATACTAATTTTGTTTACCTGTCAGTACTTTCCCATTGATCAAACCTTATAGACAAAATATTATTCTTCTGAAAAATTAATGTCATATTTTCTGAACTTTTTTTAATTCCAGGACAGTTTGGACATTTTAGTAAATAACAATCGGACTCCGGATTTGAACAAATCATTTTCTTCAAGGAATCATGATAATTTAACTCAATTTCCGTTCCGTTTAATATTTTTTTAATACCCGCAAATTTAAGGCGTACATTTTCGTGAATTTTACACACACACACATTGTGTGTTTCTTTTGGACCCGCAAAGATACACTGCGCTGGTCGAAGTTTTCTGAACTTTGATAAAGATATTTTTAAATTTGGAAATTTTTTTTCATATTCTTCATGCAATGTACGGATATTTCCTGATAATAATCTTTTTTGTTCTTGGTACCGAACTCCGTCTTTTTTGAACGATTTAAAATCTTTGATACCAGGTAGAATACGACTAACTTCGTCCGACAAGTAGAAATTTTGAACTTTTTGTTCAATGGCAGGATCCAAAGAACGACCTTTTTTTTTATTCGGGCGAGATCCAACACCTATTTTTTTTTGTTTTTTAGCATTTCTAGCCATACGTCGAGAAACATTAAAATATTCTCGAATTTTTTTAATACTCCAAGAATCAGGAATTAACGTAAGCACATATATTTTACCTTCACGGTTTGTTTGAATATTAAATAACTTTTTTATCTCTTCAATAAATTCACTGTCGGGGTTACTACTGCACTTTTGAGAATCACATACACTACCTATTGTGTCATTTTTTATTCGATTGAAACTCTCTTCCAGTTTTTTTTTCTCACTATCAGACACATTAGAAGTACGTCGTATTTTCACAGGAGTTTCACCAAATTCTTGAAGTACGCGATTCATGGTATCTATATTCAATGATTTATCAACAGCATCACAGACAAAAGTAGGATCTGATTTAAAATCGTCTTCAGAATCAGAGACAGTTTCTGAATTTTGAAATTCAAAATTTTGAGATATATTGATTTTTATATTATCTTCCATTCGATACAATTCACTTTTACAGGAAACACAAACGTAATCTCCTATAAGTTCCTTAAATCTTTCATTCCAATTTTCAGTAACTTTTATTAAATTTTTATAAATACACTTATGTTTCTTTTTCTGTAAAGGGTTACAACATTTATTTGGATTAGGCATTTTCACTACACTAAAAGACTTTTTCCTTCAAAAATTTATATAATTTGTTTCAAAATAAGGAAAACTCTGTTTTTGTACTATTTAGTCGTATGGACGTACTAGTTTCTGACCAGACAATACTGAAAATTAGTTTGAACAAGAAATAAAATAAATTTTATTAAAACTGTTTATTATCATTTAAAAGTATATTTTTCTAAACTTGACGTTTTAAGAAAAAAGTTCTCAAACGGTAGCTCGCGGGCTCAACGCGTTATCTCTCGAGTTACATTAAGCCTTATAATTATTACATTTAGTACCTTATAAATAAAAAATAATTGTTTTTTTTAAATAATACCATAAAATATCGAATATATAAAACTTAAATTTGTAACGCTTATTAAAAAGCATGGAATTTTTTAAAACAGTGTACTCACAGCAAAGGCGTAACAAAGCTGTGCAACGTGTTCAGACGCGTTGCACGGGGTGCGAGCGCGCTTTAAAAAAAATTCATTGTTATTAAACTATTCCACATTACCGTTTTTTTTTTTTTTTAAATAAATCCTCAATAAATTCTTATCAAGTCTATGTTTATAAAATTGAAAATACTCATCCAGAACACGTTTATTTTTTAATTTGTTTATAAAAAAAAGTTTTTTTTTATAACAAATGAAAAGTTTCAAAATTGTAAAAATTATTTTCAAAAAGTTTAGAATTTCATCAGTAATTTAAAAAAAAAAAAATAAAATTTCGTCAATATTTGTCAAAGTTATGCAATTTTGAAAAATGTTATGCATAAAATTTCAATTGTTTATAAAAAATAAACAAATGGATATTTTTCAAAAAAATTTAGGGGATGTTTTTAAATATATTGGAACTACATTTTTGTGAAGTTTCGATAAAAAATTTCGACCTTTGGCAAATAGGGGGCCACTTCAGGAATTTTCACCCATATCAGATATAGGGGAGATTGAGAATTTATTGCAGAAATAAAAAAAAAAAGTTTATATTAAAATATAATAGATTCTTTGTATATTTTCTCGTGGGAGATAAAAATAAATTGAAGCTATATTTTTTTAACAGTCAATATATATATATTATTAAATATCATTTACAATTTTGTTAATAAATTTTTTTTAATTTCAAATGTCCTTGAACAGGATATATTTTTTTTTTCTTTATAAAAGCTTTTATATATCTTTATCGCGTCACAAAAGCATTATTTTGCAATTTACGAGGAGCCTGCTTCGAGAGAGAGCTATTATCTATAACCATTCACTTTATATAATATACTAATAGAGACATTTAACTTGGTCGTGGTACACTAATCTACCTCCCAGTGTGATGATAATTTTTTAAGAAAAAAAATATCACAAGTTATTAATAATATAAAATATATTTTGCTGTGGAAATTATAAGAGTTTTAATAACAAATTTCTTTTTTTTTTTTAATCAATTTAATTATTTTTTATATTTCTCTTATGAAAAATAAATAAATTTAAATAAATAAATAAAATATAAATAAATATTTCCGGTAATTTTTAAATAAATAAATTTATTTTTAAATTTAATTTTAATTTTAAATATAAATAAATTTATTATTATTTATTATTCATTATTATATTATTCTATCAGTATTATATTCACACAAAATTAAAAGTATCAAATTGATACCAAAAATATCAAATTGATACAAATTTTTATATCAATTTGATATTTTTGGTATCAATTTGATACTTTTAAATTAGTGTGTATTAAATTCTATAATTATAGAATTTAATATATGTAATATTATGGTTTATTCAGAATAATTTATCAAAACCAAAACTTTATCGATGAATCTAATTATTAATTTAAATGGGACATATAAACTTTCCTTTGATATATTATTAGAATCATGATTGAAAGTCGAATAATAAGTTTGGGAACAAACAGTTGCGCGTGATTTAATTCACATTAGCCATACTTGACATATGCATTTAAATTCAATTCTCTTTATATACATTATAATTATAGCATAAAATATAATTTTGTTAATTAGAAAAAAAAAATTACAAAAAAAAACTGTTTCATAAAAAACAAATATGTTTATTTTCTGATGAATTTTTTTTTTTTACTTTCGACCTTTATTTTATTTCAATTTCAATTTATTTCAATAAATCCACTCAGAAAATGTAAGTAATTATTTTCATAACATTTTACTATATTTTAATTATTTTTCTTTTTATCCAAATAATAAAATTAAAACATTTTAAATTTCATTTATAAATTAAATTTAAAAACAATTTTAATTTTATTTAATAAAATAAATAATTAATAAAAAAAAAAATTTCATAATTCCGAAAAAAAAAATTCACGCAAAACAAATAAAAATAATTATTTCGAAACACTGTTTGATGATTGAATTTTAATTACTAATGTCAAAGGGAAAGTATATATATATAAATAATAATTTTCAATCTAAATATAATCTGGTCACGTTTTGAAGTAAACGCTTCCGTGGTATATAACTCCAGTAAGCGAAGTTTTAAAGTTGAAATACTGTTATGTTTTTGATCAGAGAGAGTGACAAACCGATATAAAAGTGTGATTATTTTTCTATTTCATTTACGTATACCGCAAAAAAATGCCGGTGAGTGATTGTGAATACAATTTTAAATTGCGTATACACAATAAATCGTGATTTTTTAAAAAAAAAAGAAAGTTTAAAAATAAAATAATGGTAAATAAAAAAAAAAATAAAAATCCTTTTTGCGCACATTAAAATGAAAAATAATTCAAGTATTTAAGAAATATCATTTTTAAACTATCACAGAGAATGTAAAATTAAAATAGCAGCATTCTTTTCACTTTATATTGTAATTTTTTTTTTTCTGCATTTTATTATTATATTCACAGTGAAAAATTAATTTACTTTCAACGGCAATTTAAAATGAAATTTTTTCCTTACTATATATTATTATTATTATTATTTTATAACATTTTTTTGCGTGTTTAAAAATTTTGTAATATTATATAAAAATATTTATAAAAAATATTTCTTGAACTTTATTGTTAATTGCACGTATGAAAAATTATTAAGTATTAAAATAAAATGCAATGTTTTTTTATTTTGAATCTTATTTTGAAATTAAAATTTTTTTTTAAAAATTAAATTAAAAAAATATAAAATAATTATTACATTAAAAATATATATGCAACAGATTCGCATCGTATTATGTTGCCTGATACTGACATTAGTATCAGGAGAAATTTCAGTAAATGGAATTAAACAAACAAATATTTTGGGTGGTGCTGAGCAACATGCGTCATTTAGTTTTGTGAGACCAGGATTAACGCAAACATCATTTGCCTTTCATGGACCAAGTTCTCATCAAACATTCAGTTCAAGTGTTGGAAATCCTCATTTAATCCACAAAGTCCAACCAAATGTGGCACAAGCACTTAAATATAAAAATCCTGGTTTAGGTATTTTTTTTTTAAGTTTTATTTAAAATTTAAATTTCTAAAAAATTTACTTTATATAAATTTTTTTCCTTATATTGAGATTTCAATGATTATATATAATAATATAATAATTATAGGAAAAAAAAATTTTCAACAAAAACAAATCGCGTATAAATTATTAATTTTCATATATATATTTTTTAAATATAGGATATTTGTCAAATGTTCCTATCTCAACAACTTCTATGCAACTACTATCTCCTTATTATTTGTCTCAAAATTTTGCTCCTATCGGATTATCACAACAAGTACAACAACAATTTCCATTTTCAATGGATACTCAAACTGATTCTATCTTTCAAGATCAATTTACCAAACATTTGGCTTTTAAACAAGCGCAATTACAGAATTTTCAGGTAAATAATTAAAAAATATATTCTAATGCAAAAAAAAGAGAAAACAATATTTACATATCAGTAAAAATTGTTTTTTTAATTTTTTTTTATTTTCCATTAAAAAAATGTTTCTAATTTAATTTTCTTAATCTATTAAATAATATTATTTTTACCTTTCTTTGAAATAAATAATATAATAAAAAACAAAAATTTATAATTATAATAATTTATATTTGTCTATATCGTTTGAATTAAATGATGTTTAATTAATTCAATTCAATTCAAAATATTAAATTTCTTTTTTTAATCTCTTTTCTGTATTCATTTTAATAACAATTTTGATTTTATTCTGCCTACATAAATTGAAATATTATTTCAAAAATGTGAATTCAGAATTTATGAATTGTATTTTAAATACTAAAGATTTTTGTTAAATATTTTGTTAAATTTATATATTTAAATATTTATTAAATAAAGATTTTTGTTAAATATTTTGTTAAATATTTTGTTAAATATTTTGTTAAATATATTTAAATATTTATTAAATAATGTTTTTTTTTTTTTTTTTTTTTTTTAATATTTTGTCATTTAAATCTTTTCACAGATTCCTGAGCAAATGCAATTACAACAAGAACAATCGTCACAAAATTTATTAGGAATTGCTTATTCCGTCGCTCCTTCTGTTGCTCGTGTAAAAGTTAGCGGAAATGGCTACAAATTCGATTTTTAATATATAAAAAAAAAAAAACTTATATGTATGGGTGTAAATACGTAAAAAAAAAATTAATAAAATAAAATTCTGAGTAAAATTTATTTTTATTATAAAACCAATTCTTTTTAACTTGATGAGATTCATGCGTCTAGAATTTCGAAAAGAATAAAAATAATTGTATGTACTTTCTGTCAGTGTTAGCGCAATAGTTCTCGAATTCTCAAAGGAATTTTTATATTGAACTTTTGTAAAAATATATTGACAGCTACTTTATTTGAAGTAAAAATAAAAAGAAATATATAAAATATACTTTAATCTTTGTTTACAATTGCTTTTTAACTTTTTTGCTGACACAAAATCAATATTAATCTATCTTTTATAAACTGTTTTTAATTAAAAGTTTATATCGGAATATTATTTTCATAAGCATCTTTATAAGTTTTACACACTTCGATCATTAATCTGTAAAATAAAGTTTCTATCTTCTTCTGTAAACTTTTAGATAAAATTTCAACAAATTATTATTATTATTATTATTAACAAAGTTAATTTAAATAAAAAGTACTGGTATTTTCCTGAATATTTTTTTTTTGGCAAAAAAAAAAAATATTGTACAATAAGTTTTCAGAGAATGTACATTTAAATAGTCATAAAAATATTAATTTATATCCGAAAAAATTATATTCTATTTTAAGAATATAAAATACAATTATTTACTCTTTTATTTCATTAATATATTATTGTTATTTTTTTTTTATTTAAATATTTAATTATTATATTTATTATATAGAAGTAAATATAATTATATTTAAATGACAATTAGCAAGCTATTCAATAATAATTTTGTGAAAATTATATCCTATATATTATTTTGTTGACATATTGAAAATGTTAATACGAGTTTAAATATTGTTTGACAAACATTAATTGAAACACATTTTCGAATTGAAAATTTTTCTCTTTTAATATTTTAGTCAAATACAACTGTTGCAAGATTAATGCAACGAGAGATGCAGTTTATTAATGACTCTCATAAATGTACTTCTTGGCAAGATGAAACTTCTTAAAAGAACTTTGAATCTTAAAGCACTCACTTGCAGAAGTTATATATATACCAGCGGAAATTAAAGTTAATTAGGATATATAATATTATCAAATGTCATCAAATCGATATTTTTGACTTGGATTAATAATTATTTTTTTTTATTTTTATATAAAAACCAATTTTCAAAATCAATAATAATAACAACAATATTAATATTAATAATAATAATAATAATAATAATAATAATAATAATAATAATAATAATAATAATAATAATAATAATAATAATAATACACGAATTTTCACACTTTTATAAAAAGTCACTATTGATACCAAATGAATTCTGACTTGAATTCGTATTATTGAACTTTCTTCAATAAAAATAATTAATTAATTAATTATTTTTTTAAAAAAAATATTTAATTTTTTTTTGTTATATTTAATAAAAATGAATGAAAAAAAAACGCTTTTCCCATCTGACACCTAGTGCTATATCATGAAAGTCCGGATATTTGCTGTCAAGAGTTAGCCATCTAGATTCATTAGTATATCAAAGATAAATGATAAATCATGTTGTAGCTCTACAATCATCATCAATAGTAATATACGCACAAAATATATAATTCAAATGCAAATTTTCCTTAATTTATAAAAATAATATAGAGAAAATTAATTAGAAAACAAAATAACAATGATAATTATAAATTATAAAAACTGAATTAAAAAAAAATTTTTTAAATAATTAAATTTTAATAATAATAAAATAATAATAAAATAATAATAAAATAATAATAAAATTAAGAAATAAAATTTTGTTACTAACAAAATAAAAAATAATTCTCAATATTTACATTATTTTTGCAAGTATTGACAAAAATTTTTTTCGCGATAAAAAAATTTTTTATTGTTTTTTTAAATTTTATAAATAATTTAAGGACAATAATTTTTCTACCACTACTCAAATAATTAACGCTTGGCTAACCAAGAAAATCGGGACCAACTATCATTTATACTTTGTTGTTATCGCCTTTCCTTCATGCAATAAACCTCGAGTTCTATTTTCCTTCTCTTATAATTATTATTTTCTCAAATACACATATATAAATATAGTTTATAATAACGCGATCAGTTGCTTTCTAATCATAGTAGCCAAAAGACATATTTTTCATTTGTGATATTAGTTGTTTAATTATTTATATAATTAAGAGTTTTAAGAATTTTTTTTTAAATATTGTGAAGTGTTTTTTTTGTATTTTAAAATATTTATTAATTAATAATTAATTAATTAATAAAATAAGTGAATATTTTAAAAAATAATAGAAATTAAAAAAAAAAATGTTTTCGCATATTTTTAATGAAGAGTATATTTGTAAATTATTATTATTTGAATTATTATCAGAGGATCTATAAAATTATATACGAATTATCTACATAGGATAACATATCTAGGAGATAATAGAATATAATTTTAGTAGAATTTTTTTTAGAATATAATATAGTGTACAAAAAAGAATATAATTATATAATAAATACAATAAAAAGTGTAAAATTTACAACAACAAAAAAATAAACTAAATGCTTGTGATATTTTTTTTAAAGTTCTCAAAAAGTTAAAAAAACAAAAATGTTTTTTTTAAGACGGAAAATTTATTTTAAAATAAGACATTTGATTTCACTTCGTGTTTCATTTTAAAAAAATTAAAGGTGACTCCATACATTTAAATGGGAAATGAACGATTGGTTCAATAATTGAATTATTAAAAATAAAATAATAATTATTAAAAAATAATAAAAATAAAATAATAATGATTAAAAAATAATAAAAATAAAATAATAATTATTAAAAAATAATAAAAATAAAATAATAATTATTAAAAAATAATAAAAATAAAATTATTTTTTTAATTATTCAAATTTTTAACATTGGCTTATTTATTGGTTGCCCGCATAATTTTGTCAATGATGATTGCCAATCATTGACCGATGAGTATATGAAAAAGTCTATTCGTTGATTTCAATAATTTCAAAAATCGAAAAAAATTAATAAAAAGTAAAAAATGAGATTGAGCTACGTCAAATTATTTAAAATTCTCTGTGCAATATGTATTGTAACATATATATTTCTAAAATTTAATTTAATTAAACAAAACACTAATCAAACTTCATCGCTTGATTTTAATTATGAACCTAAAGTTTCTACTAGTTTTGAAATGAAAAAAAACTTCACTACAGATGAGGTGAGCAAAATATATTAAAGTTATAATTAAAATTTTTATTTCTAACTCTGAGGAACTTTTTTTTTAATTTGTAAATAATGGATTTTTTTTTGTTAATTTACACTTTTCCCCAAAAAGTGTCAAATTATTATTTTTTTCAAAATTTTTCTCTTATTATTTTTTTTTTGTAGATTAATAAAATGTCTGAATTGGGAAAATGGTTAATTTCACCTGAAGGAAGTCCTCCACCAAATAAAAATACAAAAACAAAACTTCATTTAATTTTAATATGGAAACATGGACCATTTTTAGAAAATCGACATATCAAACGATTTTCATCAAAAAGGTAAAATTTCAAATTATTTTTTTTTTCGATTTTAATAATAAATTTCCTTTTTTTTCTTAGATTTTCACCTTGGGAAAATTGTTCCGTTCAATGTCGATTGTCATACAATTCAACAGATATAGAACAAGCAGATGCTGTGATATTTCATCTTCATCGTATTAAAAATGTTAATGAGTTACCAGTAATAAGAAAAAATTATAATCAAAGATGGATTTTTCTAACTGATGAATCACCATTGAATACCTTTATTTATAAATCACAAAAATTATCCAACTATAATAATCTTTTTAATTGGACAATGACTTATCGAATGGACAGTGATATTCCCGTACCATATGGAAGAACAATAAAATTATCAACGATATTAACAAATGAAACGTTTATCTATAAAAAATTATTAAAAAAAAAAAAACTCCTGGCAATATTGGCAAGTAATTGTGGTGGTAAAAATAATCGATGGAATTATATACGTGAATTAAAAAAAATACTTGCCAATAATTTTGATATTTTTGGTCATTGTTTAAATGGTAATAAAACAGTGTGTTTTTCTAATTTTAAAAATGATTGTCCAATATTAAAAAATTATAAATTTTATTTATCATTTGAAAATTCTAATTGTCGACAATATTTAACTGAAAAAGTATTTTGGAATGGTTATCAAAAATTTGCAATACCAATAATTATGGGAGCATCAATAAATGATTGTCAACAATTATTACCACCAAATTCATTTTTACATGTTAATAATTTTTCTAGTCCACTTTCATTAGTTAATTATTTATTATATTTAAATGAAAATGAAAAATATATTCAATATCATATGTGGCGTAAACAATATCGTGTTATTAATGAACATGGCTATTTTGGAAGTTCTTCAATACATTATTGTCGAGCATGTGAGGCTCTTAATTATAATTCAATGGAGAAAAAAATTTATAATAATATTGAAAATTTTTGGAATAAATCAAAAGATTGTAATTTATGACAAGAAAATAATATTATTTTGTAAAAAAAATATGTAAATAACTTTTACTTTTTAATAAATTCTAATTTTTAATATAAAAAAAAAAAAATTTATTTAAATAATAGAGAAAAAAAGAAAGATTAATATCTAATGCTGGAAAATCTAATGATAAAGAACGGTCATAGCGTTACGTAAAGAATTTATATACGCCAGTGAGAGACTGAATAGCGAATCGTAATGATTGTCATTGTGAACGTTATATATTGTTAACAAAATGTATGATCGAAATTTAATATTTAAAGTGAATTTTATGTGTTATAAACTTAATTGAGGTGAAAAATTTCATGTTTAAAATAACAACATTCATTCGTTGTACATTAAGTGAAATTGTACAGCAAACAATTTTATTAAAAAATTTAAGGTTCTATTCAATAAAAATGAATAAAGAATATTTTGAAGGTCAATTGGATCGTTATAATGGAATAATAGTTGATTCAACAAAAGAATCATGTAAAGGGGATATTTTTTCAAATCGACTTAAAGGTAAATATTCGTTTTAAAGACTTTTTTTTTTAAAAAAAATAAAATACACAATTTTTTTTCTACACTCTGGTTATTATACGTCACTATTTCTCTCTCCCTCTTGACTGTTTACAATCTATTTCACACAGTGCGCAGGCTTGTACATTGAGTCTAAAGGTTTAGCGCAAAATTTAATTTTTAAAAAATTATAAGCCAAAAGTAAAAACGAAATTCAATTAAATAAAATATAATTAGTTTTTGAAAAACAAATATTTTATTTTGTTTATTTATATTAACTATATTTCATTTCAATGTTAATATTTACTACAAACGAAAATTTAGTTTATATTTGACAAAAAAAAAACATCAAAGACAATGCTCAATAGGCAAATTACAGAAGAGAATAAAAATTTAATTGTGTATTTTATTTTTCATAAATGTTGAAAATTTATTGTAGAATAATATTTAAAAAAAAAATTGTCATTTAAATAATAATAATAATAATAATAATAATAATAATAATAATAAAAATAATAATAATAATAATAATAAAAATAATAATAATAATAAAAAATTTAAAGCTTCATTAAGCAAGTGGTTAGAGGAAAAAAGACGTACAATTTGGTTTCGTGTTAATTTGGCACAAGCAGAATGGGTACCAATTTTAACATTAGAAGGATTCAAATTCCATCATGCCAAAGAGGATTATGTGACATTATATCGATGGTTACCTAAAGATCAAGAATCAAATATTCCACCCTATTCTCATACTAATCTTGGAATTGGAGGATTTGTTTATAACGAAAGCAAAAATGAAATTCTCGTTATCAAAGAAAAATATATAAAACAACCAACTTGGAAATTACCTGGAGGATATGTAGAACCAGGTTTATTAAAAAAAAAGAAAATTATTTTAACAAAATACACTTTGCAAAATTAAACCATATATAAAAAAAAACGAGTCTTTTTTTTTAATTTCAGGAGAAAATATAAATGTTGCTGCCGAAAGAGAAGTTTTAGAAGAGACAGGAATTCAAACTAATTTCAAATGTCTTATTGCATTTAGACATGCACATCAATGTGCTTTTGATTCTTCTGATATTTATATGATTGCCTATTTAACTCCATTGACATTTGATATAAAAAAATGCGAAAGAGAAATTTCTGAATGCACCTGGATGAAGGTAAAAAAAAAAATAATAATAATAAAGAATTATTTTTATTTAATAGTCGAAAAAAAACAATTTTCTAATTTTCAGGTAGATGAATTTATAAATAATCCCATTGTTCACGAAAATAATCGATTTCTAGCGAAAAAAACTTTGGAATTTTTAAAAAAACGTGTAGGATTTGGAATACACAATGCTATTCATCCGATTACAAAAAATCCTGTATGTATTTATAGTCTTGAAAGCATAGAATAATTATTATTATAATATATTAATTCAAAAATTTTTCCTAAATTATAAACGAACAATGGATTCAAATTGTAATTATCGAATAATCGCCGCAATGTACGTCGTTAAAAAGAAAATCATTTCTTTGCACAAACGACTTTCTATTTGTACCTGTGATATATATACATAATTATATTAAACTTGTTAAATAAATAGCCAAAAATGTAAATTGTTTACGTAGTTTTTGCCCACTCACATAGATTAAATATTGTTATACTAAAATTGTATTTTTTTTTTAACAAAAATTAACTCCCAGCATGGTCACATAACCTCAAAATTTACATATTATTTTGTTAATAATTTGTAATCAACTTTTTATATCAATTTGCACTATTAAAAAGAATACAATTATTATTTGTCTATAACCTTAAAAATAAAGATACTTTGTAGTTCTATAACCTTTATAAAAAGTAACAACCAATAGAACATAATTTTGCACAAAATATATCAGTTTTTGGATAAAAAAATTACCAACTAAATTTCGTTATACATTAGCACTTAAAATTTCCCTCTCAAATTCCCGGCTTAAATCAAGAAACATGCAACAAAAATGTAAACAAAAAATTCTAACCTTGTTTAACAGGTTGCTCTTGAAAAAAAACGGAGTCCATCTTGGAGACATAAATCACATTTTAAACGAATTTTTTCACTCACTATTTATTTCACTGTAAAATCTAAACACTTTTTTTCACAAAATTTATTGAAAACATTTTACTTTTAAAGCACTGTAATCATTTGAAACTGTGTACACAAAAACACACTCCCGGTGACAATGACCTATCACCACAACTTTCAAAAGGAGAATGTTCTCGAGAGAGAATATTCTCGAGAACTTAAAAAAATTTGAATTTTGTTTTATTAATCACTTAACCACATGAATTAATGACACATTATTATATATATTCTAAAAACTTATATCAATTTATGTTTATAATTAAAGATTATCACTGATTATTTTTCGCAATGCAAGCACAAAACTGCAACTGTAAAATTTCCGTTTGCATAATGAACATAGCTGATTATGGTGAAGGGAATATGCATTAAAGGCGCATTTTCACGACACTATCGCGCTTATTGGCTAGTTATCTGCGCGCGCAAATTTAAAATAGCCAATGAACTATTTTAATTTAGTCCGATTTTTTGTGGCGCCACTTACGACCAAATTTGAAACTAAACGCTCGGATATAAACAAATACTATTTGACAAGTGTAACTTGAAGAATTTTATTTTGAATTAAAATACTAATTTTCTCTATATTTCTATAAATTTGGGTAATTAATTTTTGTGATATTAATAATCAGTGATTAAATTATTAAAAGAATTTTTATATAAACTTAAATAGATATATTATTACGTTGTTAATCTGTAAACATAACCTATAAATATTCTAATTTTAAGTTTATTAGAAATTTTTTTTTTGCCTATTAATTTTTAATGAAAACATATTTAATTAAATTTCTATTTAATTTTTACATATCCATGTACTAAAATAAGAAATGTATTATCAATATTGATTGTCAATAATAATTTCCAATGGAAGTAAAAACTGATTCGAAAATGACTATTGATCAACAAAATATTAAATTACCAACACTTTCAAATAAAAATAGTCAAGGATATATTCAGGATTTAAGAAAGCTTAAAAAGTTCGAATTAAAAGATCTCTTGGAAAGACAAGATAAATTACTTTCTAACAAGTAAGATAATATTCTTATTAATTTCTATATTGTTAATTTTATTATTAAAAATTTATCATCTTTTTACAGATTTGTTATTTCCAAACTATCTGATAAAGGTGAAAAGATAAGAAATTTAAAGGAAAAAATTTTAAAAGAACTTGATCATCGCAATGAAGTTGATGATGCAGCTCGTCTTTTATCAAAATTAAATATTGCTAAAGATGGCAAATCAGCAATGAATCAATTAGAATGGACTGGAAAGTATTCTGATGCAGATGTCGAGGAAAAAATTGTTGAATTAGACAGCGATGATGATGAGGATCCAATTAAAATTCTCGCTCAGGTTTATTTAAATTTCTAATATAGATTTAAAAAAAAAATTTCCTCTATACGGAAAGCAATAATTTTTTTTTGATTATCGTAACTAATTTACAGCCCACAGGAACTGGTGTTCATAAAAAGAAAATTATTCATTTACCAAAAGAAGAGGAAAGTTTAATAAAACCAGAAGATTTGAAAAGAATTGAATCATTCAATTTGAATAAATCAGATGATTTAGAACATGTGAAGCATATTATTAATATTGTTGAAAATCCTGATAATGAAAATACTAGAGTAAAATTTATGCCTTATAAAACAACAAAGACAAATGTCCACGATCCAATGAAGGAAAAAATACGTAAAAAAGGCGAACATTGGGAAGTTACAGCAGCTACACCACCACATATTATTCATGGAGCTGTTAAATGTCTAAGTATAAATGAATCTATGCAATTACAAAAGGAACAAGCTGAAAAACTTACCGTAAGTATGATATTAAATTTTTTTTTAGCTCTTGAATTTACATTAAGTTTGAAAAAATTTCAATTTTTTGCAGGTAATTCAATTGGAGCACGCAGCAAAACGTCTTGCGGAGAAATTTGAAATTCAAAATATTCCATCAGTGCCAACTAATTTGGAAAATTATCGCACAAAAGTGAATTCAGACTCCGAATCATCAGAAGCATCTGCAGATGAAGATGATGAAGTATACGATGAAGAAGCAATCGAAAAAGAACGAGCTGTCGTCTATTCTATTTCTAATTTTGATTAATTATAAAAAAATCACGTTTTAAATTTTAATTATCAATAAAATATATTTTTATTAAATCACATTTTTTTCCTCAATTAAAATAATTTTATTTTTAAATTTTTAAATAGGAAAAGGGAAAACTCACTTTGGCAATTTTTTTTTTTGTATAGAAAAAACAGAATTTGTTTAAAAGGCTTTATTATCCTCGTAATGTCTTAATTATATCCAAAACTGTTGATAATCTTAGTATAAGGTGCAACTTGTGGTGCGACTTTCTCTCCAGCTTGTTTCGTCAGTTTCTGTAACAAAAAAAAAAAATTGATTAACCATCTTGTTGAAAGTGAAAATTTTCCTTTTTTAATAAATTTGAAAATAATTTCTCAGCAAAAAACTGTCAACAATGCAAAAGTTTATCTTTTGCTCAGTCGCAAATTACCATAACCATCATTGAGTATTTAGAATTAAATTAGAAAAAAGAATCTTAATCTAAATTCTAGATAGAAAATAAAATTTACCTTTAGTTTATCCCTCTTTTTAACTTCAACAATAGACCTAACGCGTCTCTTGTTTTCAAGTGTACGTACAACAGACTTGTACTTCCAACCGACTTCGTGAGAAAGTCTTCCAACGTGACAGTACTGTAACAAAAAAGGAAAATTTATTAATTTATTTAAAAAAAGAACAGACTATTATAAAAAACAAAAAAAAAGGAAAGCAAATGCATTACCTTCCTTCCTGGTTTCAAGCACATAACTCTCATTGCACCAGGAACAACAACACGTTTTCTTCGGTCATAAGGTGGTGGACATCCTTCATAGACTTTCAGTCTTCTCAAAGCATCCTTTCCTCTTTGCGTTTTATGTGGAACCATTCCTATTTAAAAATAAAATCCAAATTTACTATTTTTCTTTCTTTCTAATTTCTTACAAGTATTTAATTATTAAACATCATTTACAATTGTTTTTTTTCACATTATTCTCAAATAATGTAGGTAAGAATATATTGTAATCATAGTCGAAAAAAAAATAAAATCTATTAACGATTTTTTTTTCTGTATGCATTTTACTCACCACGAACTGTTTTCCACAAAATTTTACTGGGTGCACGGAAGTGGAATGGTCCACGTGCTGGATTGACATTACATCTTTTGCGGAGGAATGACATAAACTTCAGTTTATTTCTGCAAAAAAAATAAATAAATGGAAAAATTAAATTCACATTCAAAGAAGATTTAAAAAAAAACATATTTTTAATTAAAAATATTCATAGCATAAGATTTGTTTCACAATACATCAAATAATGTAGGTAAGATTGATAATAATCATTTAATATAATAAATCGAAAATAAATTTATATTTATACGTTAAGAATAATCAATATATTTACCTGAAAAAGTTTCCAGAAATATTTAATTGTTCACTGCGAACAACAATAATTCTGTTGCCTTCAAGAGTTTTCTTGGCAATAATAGCTGCCAATCTGCCAAGGAGATGGCCACGGCCATCTATGAGAATAGGCTGTAAAAAAACGGGGTTTTAATAATCGAAATTATCAAAAATGCTTTTTGTACTCTACTTTTAATTCACAATATTAAACACAATATACCGGTCAAATTACAAAAGAATCCTTTTTTTAAACTAGGCAAAACATTCACAATTTTTAAAAAACAAATTAAATCCTATCCATAGAATTCTAAATAGCATCAACGCCTTTACATTAAAACGAATTCTAACCTCAAAATTAGTACACGTGTTAATTATCTTGTCAAAACAATTTTCTTCTTTAAAAAAACACTGAATTTAATTTAAAAAAAGAAATCTATAACATTAGAAAGTATCTTATTATATTAATAATAAAGGAAAAATAAAAATTTAAACAAAGAATAACATATAAACTAGAAAAATGAACACGTGTATGAAACAGCTTTTCTAAAGAGAATGTAAAATGTTGAAAAAATTATAAAAAATATAAAATAAAACAATTGACAATAAAGTGTAATGTTTAGAGAATATTGAAAATATAATTAATTTACCCATGTTTGCCTCTTTGAATTATAAAAACTATAATAAACTCAACACAAACCTTTTCACTGAAGCCCGTCATTTTGCGACCCGACCGGAAAAGAATCCATAAAGGTTTTACACCGGAAAATGCTGCGCCGAAAGTGGCTAAATGACGAACTAAAACAAGTGTTGCCAATGTGACAAAAAAAATGCGCTTCATTTAAAAGTCATAACTGTCACATTTTTTCACACTTTATCGTTTTTTGATACAATGCAATGATTTACGGTAATATAAATCAACTAATTATTGATTAGTTTATTATAACTACAGTGTTATATGAAAAAAAATTATATTATAGTACAACAAAAGTATTTTAAATATAAAAATTTGAAAATTTATTTATTTTTATTGATAAATATTTATTTATTAATTATTTATTAATTATTATTATTTTTTATTATTTTATTTTTATTTCTTTATTTTTATCTTTATTAATAAATATAAAATTAGGACAAATAAAAATTTAACTGAAAGTAAAAATAACAAAAAAATATCATTTTTTTTAATAAATTAAATAGAAATATGAGTATTGTATATACTTAATCGAACTCGGATGTAACTGTCAATTTTCACTAACAGTGGAAAAAAAATATGAGACGAATTTCCGGTAATTCCATTAAAACCAAAGCTCAACCATCTGCTCCTGAAGTCCTTGGCACGTGCGTCTTTTCTATCTGTATATACGCACCCAGAAAAAGAGGGGGGCCCATCCTATCGTTAATTTTTTAACGAGAAAGCATTGGAGCAGTAGAAATTTATTTTTCCTTTATGCTAAAGAATATAATTATCATAATGCTTCGAGAGCAAAAAAAAAGGGAAGGTACATAAGATACAATTTTTTTTTTTTCTTCAAAACCTAATTAAATTATGTGAATTACTAATTATTAACATAAAGAAAAAGAGTGCATAATTTTTTTAATTAAATAATTTTTAAAAAAAATAGTAACAAAATAAAAAGAATAAAAAAAAATATTTTTTTTTTAATTTTGAAAAAATAGTAATAATAAATAATATAATAATATTTATATAATATAATAAAATAAAATAAAATAATAAAAAAAAATTTTCTTTAAATTTAATTCAAACCGGTTCGTTATTTTGATATTATAGGGTCCTCTTGCTGCGCCATTGTCGTGAAGAAAGTATACAAAACATGTGTGATTCGACTAATAAAATACATTCGAAACACATAGGATTAACATTTCCAGTCACAGAAAAACAATATAGAAGATATATTCCTACATAAAAATGGTAAATATATTCTTTGTATTTTACATAATTAAATAGGACACTATAAAAAAAAATTTACCAACTCTGACTATTTTAAAAAATCATTTAAAATTTATTATAATTAAATAGATTTTCATAACTATTTATTTGTTTTTATAATATTATTATTATATTATTATAAATTAAAATTAATTTTTTTAATTAATAAAAATAAATAAGGTAATTAAAACTAATTTTTTTTAATCAAATAAATTAACTATTACTCTCTAAATCTGAATTAGTAAAAATGTTTACTAATTTGAATTAGTGACTCACTTTTTGCTTCTAAATTAGTAAAATTTTACTAATTACTAGTAACTTTTACTAACAATTAGTAAAATTATAAAATTGTAAAATTAATTAATAATAATAATAAAATTAATAATTAATTAATTATTAAAATATAAAATTAATAAAATTTTACTAATTATTAGTAACTTTTACTAACAATTAGTAAAATTATAAAATTTTAAAATTAATTAATAATTAATTAATTATTAAAATATAAAATTAATTAATAATAATAATAATAAAATTAATAATTATTAATAAAATTTTACTAATTATTAGTAACTTTTACTAACAATTAGTAAAATTATAAAATTTTAAAACTAATTAATAATAATAATAAAATTAATAATTAATTAATTATTAAAATATAAAATTAATAAAATTTTACTAATTATTAGTAACTTTTACTAACAATTAGTAAAATTTAACTAATTCAGAAGCAAAAAGTGTGTCACTAATTCAAATTAGTAAACATTTTTACTAATTCAGATTTAGAGGGTAATTAATTATTATAAATAATAATAATAATTAATGTAATAAATAATAATTAATTATAAATATTAATTAATTAAATATTAATTATAATTATTAATTATTATTAATATTAATTAATTTAACTATTAAAAATAAACTTATTTGATTTTGAAAATCTAGACAGAAAAAATAATTTCACTTTCAAAATATTAAATATTTTAAAGTGTACATAAAAAAAAAATGCAATTTCTTTAAAATATTTAATAATAATAATAATAATAATAGATTATTGGTGATATGCAAATGCAAGTATAAGAGTCTTTTATGCATTTCTAATATTCAACGGTTTATGAACATTAACCGTTTTATTCGTGACCTTTTCTTATTTCAAAGACCATTCGATAATATATCGAATTGAAAGGAATTTTATTACAGAACTATTTTATCGTTAATATGGAGAAAGTATATATAAAAAATTACAATAGAAATAATTCAAAAAAACAAAAATTCTATTGCAAAACATCATTTTTTTAAAAATTTAACTTAAATTTTTTTTTCCTTATGAAAATTTTTATATTCTAATATAAAATTTGATAGAAATTTTTTTATAATTTGAATAATTACCAATTGATAAATTTTGTTTATAATAATAATAAATAATAATAATAATTATTTATTTATTTAATTAATAAAGTATAAATAATAATAAAATTAATATTATAACAATTTATTTACATCTAATTTCTTTTGTAAATTTTTTTTTTTTTAATTTCAATGGAAAGGGAATAATTATTTTAAAAAAAATTAATGTGCGTGAATGTTCACATATAGTGTCCATGACCGTAAGACTTTCATATATATATGTACGTCCTCGACCTTGACGTTTTGTTGAAGAATTCTTCACATTGCATTTTTCCCTTATTATTTTATTGAAAAATTTTTTTTGTTTTTTTAAATTGAATGTAATTAGCAAAAAAATGTGCTGCAACTATTTATATACTTGTCTATGAAAATTGTTTTAAAATGAAACATACACATATGTAACTTTTATAAGGTAAGACGATATCTTATATTGAATATATATTAAGACGAATAGCTTATATAGAAGTAGAATAATTCCGTTTAAGAGGAAGGAATTTATTTCAACTCATATTCCTTAATGCTTTGAAACGAAACTCGAATCCAATGCTCTTCATATTATAACAAATATATGATGTTTCTAAAATGGAAATTATGAAAGTTTCACAGTAGCTTCAATAATATTAACATTTATTATTGAAGTGAAGTCATTGATTTCGTAAGGTGGAAATGATTTTTGTTTTATATATATATATATTTTTTTTTAAAGATATTTATTAAGTTATATATAACTTTCACATCACGGTGAAATGATTTTTTTCCAAGAATTAAAATTTTTTCAAAAAATTCTCACTAAATTGTATTGGTAATTTACAAATTATTTATTTATTAAATAATTATTAATTAAATTATTTATTAATAAATTATTAATTATTTATTTAAAAAAATATTTATTATTATTAAATTTTTATTTAATAAATACAATCCAAATTATTTATTCCAAAAAAATTTATTTATTTGTCATACACCCATCAAAGAAATGATTTATTTAAATCAAATAAAATATATTTGAATTAAATATAAACGTATATTTATCTCAAAGCCTATTAACTTATTTATTTGGCGTAAATAAAAATTTTATTTGTCATAAATAAATTTTTCTTTGGCTTAAATAAATATTTTTATTTAAATGAAATAAAATATATTTGCAGCAAATAAATGAGTTAGTAGGCTCAGAGACAAATATACCATTTCTCTGAGTGTAAGAAACAAAATTCTAAATTTAAGAATATTAATATTTGACTATTTGAAATAAATTTTTTATTTCAAATAAATATTTTATTTATAAATAAATTAGAGAATAAGTATAATCAATATGCAATTTATTCAATAACTATAATTTATAATTGTAGAATAAAAGTTATAAAGTTAAAAGTAAATGAATATGAAGATATAAAATTTAATTAATGATGAAGTGTAAAAACATGAACTAAAAAAAAAAACTAGTAGTTTTTGATGCGTGCAAAAAAAAAAAATCCGTACTTTTATGTGTTGTCATATCAAGGTTTAATGCTTCCTGTATGAAGGTCGTCTCGTAATCGAATTCTCATATACTTTTGCCTGTTTATGTGTATATAGATACACCTTATTTATTTTGACACAGATGTATGTTTTCATTTTACAATTCGTAACCATATGTCTCTGAATCATAGATGATTTTATATATCCACTGACACAGTTTACTCTAAAACTATATTATAATATATGAAAAAAAAAACTATGGGGAGAAAAAAAATAGTGTCAAGTTCTTTATATTACCAATCAGTTTTTTTTAAATAATTAAAAAAAGAGGGAAATTAAAATTTAATTCCCCAAAAAAAAGTTACAATCTATTGATGTTTATTTAAAGGAGTAGAAATTTTACTCCAAAAAAAGGAATTAAAAATCCCATACGGGGAGTTAAATTATTAAATAATTAATTATAATTATATTATTAAACAATTAATTATAATTATATTATTAAACAATTAATTATAATTATATTATTAAATAATTAATTATTAATTAACTCCCCAAATAGGAGTGAAATTAAAATTTTTCTCCAGCCGTTTAATGAAAAAAAAAAAAATTGTTTTTTCCAAGTGAAATTTTAATATAATTATTATATTAAAATAAAGGTTAAATATGAAAGACAATGTTCCCTTTTTTTCTTCCTATATATGGGCACAGACGAACCATGGGAATTGTGTATAGAATCGCGTTGACTTATATATATACAGCACCCTACAAAGTTTATTTTTTTTTGCACAGTATGAATTCTAAAACTTCCGGTTTGAAAAACCGTGTGATGGAAACTCATTACCACAATTGCATACACGAACTACCTCTAATGTATTATTTAATTTGCGCACTTGTTTTTAAATGCATATAGGGCAAAATTAAATAAAAAATATATGCCAAATTTATACTCTTTCAAGAATTAAAAAAAGAAGAGTGTAGAGTATTAAAAAAAAAAGAAGAGTGAAATTATATTTAATTCCCTTTGGTATTTTGAAATACAAAAATTTCACTCATTAACTCCATGAGGAGTTAAATACTACTCCCCAGTGGAGTAAAATATTTATTTGCACAAATTTGATAGTCAATTTTATTTATGAAAATTTTACTCCGAATTGTTAATTTTCCACAGAGGGGAAATTTTAGAAACATTCTATTGGGAGTTGTAATTTTAACTCCCTAGGTGTTAATCTCTGTGATTTAATTTCGAAAAGAGTGTCAATTTTAAGAAGAAATTCTGTCTGAAAATTAACTTGTATTCTGGGAGTGAAGATCGAATTTCTTTAATTTAATCTCTACTCTTTTGTGGAGTGAAAAAAAAACACTCTGTGGAGTGAATAAAACCCTAAACATGATAAATTCTTTTAAGATAGATTATATACTCTTTTGTGGAGTGAATAAAATACTTTTTTGGAGTAAACAGTGTGATAGATGCTTTTAAATTTATTATACTTTTTTTTGGAGTAAATAAAACTCTTTTGGTAGTGAATAATACACTCATGGGAGTGAAAAATGATGTGGAGAAAAGAAAATTTATGTATTTTAATTCAAAAATACCTTTTTGGAGTGAACAGTGTGATAGATGCTTTTAAATAAATTATATTCTTTTTTTGAAGTAAATAAAACTCTCTTGGGAGTGAATAAAACATTCATGGGAGTGAATAAAACACTCATGGGAGTGAAAAATGATGTGGACAAAAGAAAATTTATGTATTTTAATTCAAAAACACTTTTTTGAAGTGAACAGTGTGATAGATACTTCTAAATAAATTATACTCTTTTTTGGAGTAAATAAAACTCTCTTGGGAGTGAATAAAACACTCATGGGAGTGAAAAATGACGTGAACAAAAGAAAATTTATGTATTTTAATTCAAAAACACTTTTTTGAAGTGAACAGTGTGATAGATACTTCTAAATAAATTATACTCTTTTTTGGAGTAAATAAAACTCTCTTGGGAGTGAATAATACACTCATAAGAGTGAAAAATGATGCGAAGAAAAGAAAATTTATGTATTTTAATTCAAAAACACCTTTTTGGAGTGAACAGTGTGATAGATACTTTTAAATAAATTATACTCTTTTTTTGGAGTAAATAAAACTCTCTTGGTAGTGAATAATACACTCATGGGAGTGAAAAATGATGTGGACAAAAGAAAATTAATGTATTTTAATTTGAAAAATGCAAAATATGACAACCCTCGCTTAAGGAATTTTAGAGAGTGATTATTTCTCAATAAAAAAAAAGTTTCACTTATATTATTGAAGATGCTGGAGAGTATTATACTGTTCTCTTCTCTCTGACAATGACGTCATCTCCGGGACCAAGTGGAGAACGGAGGTCACATGACATTTCCAAAACTCAATACCAAACGAGAGAGACGTTCTCAGAGTTTAATACATATATATATATATACAAAACGGGCGGGGAGTTTCCAGAGACGTTGTCGCCGGTTCACATTGCTCGAGGGATCCAGTACAAGTGCCGCTATCGAAGCGTAAGCATCTCATATATATATGTTTCATTGAAAAAAAAATTCAGTGACGTTAACCACCTGCAAAAAAAAAATTTACAAAAAAAAAATTTTCTAGTGCTTGACCAAAAAAAAAAAAAAACAAAAATAAATTACAGTGCATTTGGAGAATCATGGCTTGTAATAGAGCTACCAAATCTGGATTTGCTGCTGAGGCGCAACGTAAAGTAAGGACCATTTTTGGTTTTTTTAATTTTTTTGCCAAAAAATTTGAACTGATAAATTTTCTTTAAAAAAAAGAAAATTTTCTTTCTCTTTTTTTTCCTATTTCCAAATATGGCTTTAACTTGCATTGGCATAAAATCAATGCAGGTCCATTTGCAAAAAAAAAAAAAATTTTTGCATTCTATTTTTTAAAATTATTTAATTAATTTAAAAATATAATTTGACAATTTTTTTTTCGGTAATTTATTCTTTTATTTTTATTAAAATTATAATTAGTGCAATTATATTATAATCATTAATTACTAAACCCATCAAGTGTGTGTGTGTGTGTGTAATGTATGAACTTTTGCGCGAGCGCCCTGACCCACATTTCCCGGAATTCAGGGATATTTTCCCGCGCTGATAAAAGGACTGCTGCTATTATAAAGGATTAATTTCGAAAAAAAAATTTCCTTTTTTTCTAAACAGAATTAAAAAATTTTTTAATATTACGTAATCGTCTAAGAAAAAACAAATGATTACGTTTCATAGTCTATATAGAGTTCAAAAAGGTAATTATTATGCACCTGTTGAATATATATATGTATAGGACAAACAAGAATGAATTAGCTGCATAATTGATTAAACTGTACATATGTGCGCACACACAGTTTGCTTATAAATAACGTTTAATTTTCTTCCGTGATGAAAATAAGAATTTTTGAAAAAAAAATCGCAAATTCGATTTAAAATTTCATATTAGGAAAATTTTTGAAAACAAACTTTTTTTTTTAAAGAAAAATTTTCATTTAAAAAATTGGTAAAAGAAAAAGATTTTTCAGCATTTTTTTCCTTTTTTTAGTCATTTGATGCTCAAAGGGTGGTTTTAAATATAGGTCAATAAAAGTTTTTTTTTTTAATTCACCCAGAGAAAAGATTTCTTTGATTTAAAGAAACCAATTTCATTGACTTGTTTATCTTTTATTCAAAATAAAATTTTCTTTGAAACAAAAAAAAAAAGGTTCTTACTGTCAAAAAAAATTTCTTTGTTTCAAAGAAATTTGTGAATTAAATCAAAGAAATTCTAACATTGATATAGGGTCAAAGAAACATTTATTTGAATTAAATAAAAAATTTTTTTGAAACGAAGATAATTTTTTTTTTTGAGAATTAAAGATAATTTGTTTTGAAACAAATAAATTTTTTTTTTTGTATCAAAGAAAAATTTGTCAATGAAATTGATTTCTTTGAATCAAAGAAATTGATTTCTTTGAATCAAAGAAATTGATTTCTTTGAATCAAAGAAATCATTGTTCTGGGTGTAGACTCGTTCAAAAAAAAAAGTTATTTATCTTTGAGACAAACATATTATATTATTTAATTCAAATTCAAATATGTAAGATTTGAATATTATTTATCATTTTTATTTATTTATTATTTATCGATTATTTATGTTTAAGACAAATATATTTTTATTACACTGAAAAAAAAAATTATTTGATTCAAATATTCGGTTACTTGATTATTATCAAATATAAATATTTACTTGAACCAAATAATTTTTATTTGACCCAATTAAATAGTATTTGTTTCAAATACAGAAATTATTGGTCCAATTTATTTAATTCAAATAAAAATTATTTTCTTCAAATAAATATTTATTTGATAATATTCGATTATTTGAATCAAATAAATTTTTTTCTCAGTGTACGTTTTTTGTATATTATTCATCATTATTATTTTTTGATTATTATTATTATTATTATTTTGATAAATAATAATTTATCGATTATTTATCTTTGAGAGAAATCAATTTTTATTTAATTCAAATTTGAATAAATAATTTGAATTGATATTGAATTGAATTAAAAAAAAATTTTCTCTTTGTAAATGATACAAGAATTTATCAAAAAAAAAAAAACAAAAAATAAATAAATAAATAAATAAAAAAAAAATCGATTTTGATAATGCAGGTCAAAACATGTAGCACATATATAGGTATATATAACAGCTGCTAAACCTTCCTCTTGGAGTCTTCTCTCTGTTTGGAAGAGAATTAAAATGAGACCCAGTTGCCAAGGAAGGGAGCGTCCTGCAAAACTGGCTGGCCATGGTATACTTCTCTGTTCTTTGACGTTCCTTTGCACCTTAATTCGTATTAGTATTCCAACATACATATATATGTTTCTTCTACATATATGCTTCCTCACGAAAATATATCAGAAGCTTATATATATATACAGTTCCCTGCTGCTCATACAGGGTGGTTTTTTAACCAGCATTGTGCATTATATTCTCTCTCTCTCTGCGCACGTGACTCTACATTTCTATTAAAATCCATTCTATTCATAAGAGATATAATAGACAAAATTATATACACAAAAAAATAATATATTTGTCTCAGAGTCTAAATTTAAATTATTTTAAATTTATTTCAATTTTTTATTAATTTATTTATTTCAATTTTTTTTCAAATTTATTTACATTAATTTTTTTTTCAATTTATTTACTTTAAAATAATTTAGGTAATTTATTTTAAATTTATTTAATTTAAAAAAATTTTTAATTTATTGTTTATTAATTATTTAAAAATTAATTTATTTCATACACTCAGAGAAATGGTATATTTGTCTCCGAGCCTACTAACTCATTTACTTGTTGCAAATATATATTTCATTTCATTGAAATAAAAAATTTATTTGAGCCAAAGAAAAATTTATTTCTGACAAATAAAATTTTTATTTACGCCAAATAAATAAGTTAGTAGGCTCTGAGACAAATATACGTTTATTTAACTCAAATATATTTTATTTGGTTCAAATAAATCATTTCTCTGGGTGTATAAAAAATGTACTATTTACAGTAAAATTAAAATTTTTTTCATTTTGAACCAAATTAAAATAATTTTTTTTTAGAATATATAAATAAATATTGTGTTTATTTTTTTTTTTATTAAAAACTATTGAAAATTTTTTGTAAAAAAAAAATGACAATAAATAAACCCAGAGAAAAGATATATTTTTTCTTAGAGCCAAATAAATATTTATTTGTTTCAAATAAATTTTGAGTTAAAAAAATTTTTTATTTGCTCTAAATAAAAATTTTATTTCCGCTAAATAAAATTTTATTTGTGTTAAATAAATTTTTTTTTTCATTAAAAAAAAAAAATAAAACATTATTAGGCTCTAATAGAAATATATTTTTATTTGCTTGAAATAAATTTTGTCTCAAATAAAACGGCAATAAAATATTATCTCTAAAATGCAATTCAATTTTTTGTGAATTTTCAAAAATAATTTTTTTTTTTTTTTTTTTGACGATTGTCAATAACAATTTAACAATTTTCTCATGGTATAAATATTTGTTATTTATGAAAGTGGAAAATATGAATTTTGCGATTCTATAAAGTTTGGAATGCGAAGTTTGAGATCTGGAATAGTGAAATGCATCATAAAATTCCCAGGGACGGCTTTTATCCAGTCAAACCAGAAAGAAAATAACAATTCAAATATATTACTTTTCTAGTTAATTTTCCTTTTGCGCGGATTACGGTAACAATATATATATATACCTTCTTCTTATGCTTCATTGCTTTCAAAGATGTTTTCCTAAATTGATCTTTTCTAGAACCTATACATTTTAGTTTTAAAGGCTGTAAAAATATTTATATGACGTGTATATTGTGCCGGGGAAAGTGCTTGAACATCGTTCAAATTCTTAGGCTTTGCTTATTAAAATAATGAACTTTAAAAAGCAAAAGTATAATAAAATTTCACTACATGTGACAAGGCACATTTTTCAAAACTTAATTTTTCACAATCTTTTAATATTTTATTTCAATATTTTTTTTATTTTATTAACCATGTGATAAATTGTATTATGAATCATCAATCATTTATCATATTTGTTATCAACGTAAAATTGTGATTGTTTACGTTTCTTTTTTTTTCATTTTTCAATTCTACTTTACCTCTGATTATTTTATCGACAATTAATTTATGCTTTTAGATTAATTTATCTTTAGTCGATTTGTCTTCAATCAATTTGTCTTTAATTAATTAATCTTCAATTAATATTGAAATATAAATTATATATCGAAAAAAAATTTTTTTTTTCGTTTACTTAACTATCATTTTTTTTGAACCTAATAATTTTTATTTCAGCCAATTAAATTTTATTTGTTTCAAATATACAGAAATTATTGGTTTAAATAAAGTTTATTTGATTTAAATAAAAATTATTTGATACAAATAAATATTTATTTGATAATAGTCAAGTGAACGATTATATTTGAATAATTTTTTTTTCAATATACCAACACGCAGAGAAATGATTTATTTGAACCAAATAAAATATATTTGAGTTAAATAAATGTATATTTGTCTCAGAACCTACTAACTTATTTATTTGGCGTAAATAAAAGTTTTATTTGTCAGAAATAAATTTTTCTTTGCCTCAAATAAATTTTTTATTTCAATGAAATAAAATATATTTGCAACAAATAAATGAGTTAGTAGGCTCAGAGACAAATATACCATTTCTCTGAGTGTATTAATTAATTTTAATTAATTATTATTTCAAATAATTATTAATTATTAACTAATTCATTTCGATTTCTATTAAATTCATAGAATAAAAATTTTAATTTGTAGGTTTCAATTTTCTTTCTTCATAAAAAAATAGGTTACAATATTTATTTAAAAAATATATATATATATGTTTAGGAAATTAAGTTTCGATGATAGAAAAAAAAAGGAAAAACTAGTACTTTGTGCAAAAAAAAAAAAAAAAAAAGTATACTACACTCGTCCATGACGAAAGAAGATATGGTTATCGCCTACTCTAGAAATGTAATACGTGCCTATTATATTTTCCTGACTCCTAAGTCGCGCTCATATTAATGAATTACATTATAACAAAAGTTTTACAATTTATATATACAATATATTCCGCTAACACGTTTTTGTCCATAAATTACTCAATTTTCATTTTATTGTCGTTTTACGATAATATTATTTTGCAA